CCAACGGAAACTTTTTCGGCAAAGCGCGGACACGCAGTCCGGTTGATACGCTCCCATTTCCTCGGCGTCAAAAAAGCACAGGCTGAAGAGTTCCTAAAAAAGTGATCTAGTGAGTGGATTTCTTTCCAGTTCGAGAAAAAAATATACCTCAAAGTCCAGGTTTTGGCTTCACCGAGAGGGAGCGCATCACATCATCAACCAAATACATAAAATACAAATATCAATTACACCTTTACCGTTTTAATAGCAAAAAAAGAAAGTGGCTGCATTTTAAAAATCACGAAAAGAAAGGTAAAAATTACACGCCGAAAACACAAATCTTCAAAAATTCACCGACTTTGCAGAAAGTTCCCCACATGCCCAAATATATATGCAGTGTTCGGAAGCAACCAGACGAAGTAGGTTGGCTAATGTGACTGACCGGTCTCTTTTCTTTTCACTATCAGCTCTCCCTCCCTCCGTCTGTGCGTACTGTAGCCTGTCTCAAGTCGAGCTTCTCACAATGGGCAATAAATTAGTCTCATTGAGTCTTTTAAAAGCACAGCCCGCAGTCTTTTACCCTACCATTCTCTTTCAACCTTTCACCGCAGACAAGGCACGCTTAAAAACAGTTTCCCTTTACGCATCTATCGTCATTATCAACACTGAACCATCCCGGAGTGATTGATATCATTTCCTAATCCTAAATCATTATAGTTTCGAAATTCTACAATGGTAGGCTACATGTGGGATTCATGTGAACAGAATACATTATTGTGAAATAAAGAAGTTAGTCGGATGCATTCTCATGACAATAAACATGCATACATAGTTCAATATTATGGTGGTGATGATGCTGCATGAGTCTTTCATCTCTGTTATTGAGTGTCTATAAATGCCCATGCTTTATTCTAAGGACATAACACTCAAATGCCAGACACACTTTTGCATTGTGTCATCTGGTTTATATTATAATAGAGTAGACATGCTCTGTATCGTTCTCAGTGGCGTAGCGCAGTTTCGCAGGGCACCTTGCAAGGTCCAAGCAAACTAGCAGTTGTATAGCTAATCTCATGCTATTTTACACATTTTGCCATGAGGATGAGAGAAAATGTTGCTGTTTTAGAGCTCAGGGATTCTTGAAAGACGGGACAATCTCAAACATTTCTCTTAATATTAACAACTTGAAATACATATTTTGATAGACCAAAGTATCAGCTATCACACCATGTAAAGCAGAGATCCTCAACTAGATTTTTTTCTTGAGAGAATGGTCGGGCGGCGGGTATAGGCAAGGTCGGCAGGTAGCCTAGAGGTTAAGAGCGTTGGGCCAGTAACCGAAAGGTCACTGGTTTAAATCCCCGAGCCAACTTGGACTTAATCCTAAATACTCATGTAAATCGCTATGGATAAGAGTATCTACTAAAATGTAAACAAAAACATAATCGACTAAAACATAATCATTTCAAACCTTGCTTACGTTTGTTTACGACCACTTGGAAACAGGTTTCATAAATTAAAATCACTTAGAGCTGATTTCCTGGTGTTTTTACAGTCTATTATGTCGGAAAACTTGCGGGGCCAAATAAAACCATCCAGCTGGCAGCTAGTTGGGGAACCCTGATGTAAAGGAACAACCTCCTAATTATAATTTATTTCTCATAAAATGCAACTAACTGGATTTATGTCAACTCTGACAGACACCATAAAAGGCATTTCATTTTCACAATTATTGTCCAACAAGGCCTTGATTGTTTAATTCTAACATTATATTATTCAAATATGTAACACAAATCTCCACATTTATTTTTGTTTTGTTTTATAGCACTACTATATGCTCCAGGGCTAATTTAGTTAGCATTTTGGCATGTGTTTCTAGATTTAGAACATAAAACAAAATGTATAAAGCAAACATTATCCCTTAGGTCTAGCACAGCAAATACTTCAATTGTTTAAGCATATGTTGCAGAACAGTGATTACAAAAAAAATAATCAGAATACAAATAAATACAATCGATCTTAAGGAGGTTAGTCATCAGTGACAGAGTTGACAAGTCACTGACAGAGTTGACAACAGATACTCAAAACAGACATATTTTTGCCTCTAAAAATAAAAGTTCAATACAAACATTTTGTAAATATGGAACATTATTGATTTGAAAATCCCCATAACCATTCTATCAGATCTTTCAGCACTATTGATAAAAGTCACCTTTTCTGAGAGAGATTTACATGGTTATCAAAACGTCAGGTAAGCCTACACGAAACACAGCCCTTATTTGAAGTGTTTCTAAAATTCCCTGTGGGAAAAATGTATGGTGGAAAAACGATTGGAACCATTTCCTTGTTTGACTCATACTGTGGTACTCTGTTCATGTCCTCATTACATCTATTGCAACAAGACCAATCATGTTCTGTACGTTTTTAAGCTCAAATAATGCAAAAGCCATTTTTTCAACTATCAAAATAACGTTTTCGTGCCGGACAAGGATTGTCCCCACTTTCAAGAATCCCTGATCTTATTTCCTGCTATTCTACACATTTTGCCATGAGGCTGAGAGAATATCTGGCAGTTTGAAAGCTAATTTCCTGTAATAAAAAATAATAATGTCATGGTTTATGATGCGTACATATGCTATCTGGGGGGCGTGTGCTATGCCAGTGATCCTTCTTCCTCCAGTCCCTCCTAATCTTGGTCTTTGTCCAGCCTTGAGCTATGTGGTTGCCGTTTGCATCCTTACTCAGCAGCCTGTGGGCAGACCTTGGTGATTGGGCAAGGTCCAGGCAAACACAGCCAGAGAGCAGGGGTGGTGGGCTCTCTGTAACCTCTCTCCCTGTGCACAGTGGAGGTGGGACCTGGAAGGTTTCTGTCCAAACAGCCACTAACCACAGGGCTGTGGGCCGGTCCCAAGCTAAACACCTGGCCCTGCAGCCTGCAGCCCAGTAATCTATATCTGTGGTCAGAGTGACTACACTTCTCAGGTCTCTCAATGGAGAGCACTGTAGGGCTCACCAGCTGCACACAATCATGATGCTGAAGAGGAAGAGAGGCCATCTAAGAGCATGATTCATACCAGCACACAGTTACACCACAACACAGGACAGACATCTTGGCATCCTGTCCTCCTGAGGTACACAGTATGTTGTATGGTAGTTTGACTCATATCACTCTACTGCATTGATGAGATTATCACTGCACCCCGACTGGCGCAGGACTCTCCTCACAGTGCAGTGGAAGCTTTCTACTCTCTCTAAGGCTCACCTGCTCCGAATCACACCAAACGGAAACTGCTTCAGAAAGCTTGACGGGGGGATGGTAGTGTCTGCATTTCTTATTTCAGGGCATCCTTGGCATTTTATGAAGCAGAGTGGTGCCAAGAAGGAACTGGAGGAGTTTAGGGTTAATGTAAATCCCTCCAGTCTCGCGCAGCTGAAAATGATCTTGACCTCTGAAGGGGGAGGTAGGGGTCATTTGCGTTGAGGTTTTTATCTTTCCCCTTCCTTGTCTTGTTACCCTTTTTCCTTCTCTCCATTGTGCAATCAAATATAAAGACTTCCTTTACCTATTGTCTCTCTAAGGTAATGTATTACTGAAGTTCCTTTGACTAATTTGCCGTGCACATACATTAAAAAGTAGACCTTTCGGACTCCTCTATTCTATAGAGTGGCAACACAGACTTTTTACTGCCCCACCCTCCCTGTGTAGGCTCATAAAAGTGTCTCCCGCTCCTCTCCACAGTGCTGTCTGCTTTATGACAGCCATACCACTGAACCCAGCAGGTGCTATCTGGCCTGCCCCCCTCACCCCTCTTACCATTGCCCCACACTGTCAGGACTAGTCCCACTGCTCACTGCTGTGGGATTATACAGTACAGAGCTCGAGCTGGATGACTTAAATCAGCTAATTCCAGGCAGAACTGCCTATACATGTGCTGTATGTCGACATCATGGTCATGCTAGAGCCCCTCTGTGACCCAGACCGCTGTCTCACCTCAGTACCTGAGATTACTCAATATGATAGTCTATTTGCTCACTCTGAATAGCTAAGGCAGAGAACAAACCACAAAACGTATAGCCAGAGCTCAGTCAAATAATTAAAAAGGAAAATAATATCGGAGGTCTAGGATAAGTTTCACAGTGTGCACTTTGGTCAATGTTTCACTCAGATACACATTTTCCAGACTCCTGGTTTTCCCAATGTGGCAGCTGTAATCCATTTTTAGCCTCTATAGGCAGGAAATATATCTCAAGCTCATTAAAAATGGACTGAATTCCTTTTGGATTATGTATGAAAAAAGATTAAAGATGTTTCAATGAATTCAATTACAAACATATGAAGACAGCACGTACACATCTGACATGTACGATCAGATTCACACCTAAATCTACATTTAATCTGTGGGGATATACATTTTAAAACGTCTACCTTTAGACTAAATCAGAATTGAAGGCCTCCCTTCCCCTATACGCCAGCTCTATGTAGTCAGGGAAAAGGGGGGATGAAATATAACCTGGATAAATAATGTTAAGATTTTAATTAAAACGAATACAAAGCAGACCTTCTTTTCCCAGTGGATTTATCTCCCCCGTCAGTCGGTCGGGCAGCCTGAGCACAGATGCTGGGCGTTAGAAATGTCATGAGGAATAAAGCAGACAGAGGACTTAATAAAGAGATCTGTCTTCAGAGATTAAAAATAGCAGGGGGTTGGGGTTAGAAGCTCTGAGATCCACTGGCACCTCTCCAGAGGACTGACTGGAGACAGGAGTTCTCCACTAGTCTGAGAGGACCCAGGACTGGGGTGGGATGCCACCTAGTGTTAAAGCCGTGATAAGAACAACTGTGGAGTGAAGTGATCCAGAGAAATCTAGTAATGTAATAGTATGCTAATAAGCATGTCACCAAATGTGATATTTGATAGTTTCCCAAACATTTATTTGTGTTGTAGTGATAAAATAAATTCAGCCTTTAAAATGTGTCTTTAAATTATCTTCATATAAATCTAAAAGAAACATAAACATCATCAGTCTGCGTTGAGGCACAGACAGACTCCCTGCAGCACCCAGTGGGAGATGTGCTTGGTGGTGAAGAGATCTGCCTCAAACACCAGCCCCACACCCATAGCATTCCTCCTCATGGAAGTTGTGTACACTGGAGTCCTCAGAGTATTCTACGAAACAAACACACAGACATTTGGACACAGTTAGAAAACGGCAAAACAGACATTTTAAAACAATGAAACTGCATTGCTAGAGAGGCCACTAGCGAAGTCACTTAGCACAGAATCTGAAGTGATAAGGTTGTGAGTGGTGCTGCCCCCTACCTGTAGTTTGAGGCGATGTGCTTCTATGGGGATGACCTTCAGGATGGGCAGCTGGACCACCAGTACTTTGGGTTTACTCCTGATCAGACAACCCCTCTCTGTGTCCCAGTCTGCTCCCTCCAGATACAGGCCTGACACGAAGCAGCCTGGGAGAACACAACCACAACCTTCAGTATCAAAGCATCACTGTGTGTCCGTCTGTCTGTCTGTCTGTCTGTCTGTCTGTGTGTGTGTGTGTGTGTGTGTTAGAGGACTCTCACCCTGTCCAGGCCTCTCGTTGACCTCCTCCTCAGTGGTGTACTGGGTGACCTGTGTGTAGAGTGTGGAGCGGTCCAGCGGCCAGCCGTTCCTCCTGCAGGTGGCCTGAACCAGAGCAGTCAGGTAGGACTCTGGGATCTGCAGCCCAGACAACCACATCACATTGGGCTCCCCTTCATCCACCTGGGAGGAAGAACCATACAGGACAACATAACTACACAACCACTACATACACAAGCATGCATGTACATACTGTATTTACACGGAAAATGTATATTTATATTAATATGTACTATACATCATGGATACTTTGATACCAAGAAAGAGTGACCTTGAATAACATATCTGCATGAGCAACAGCTAATGGGGATCCTAAAAACTAAACCAATCTTCTGAGAGATATGAGCGCAGAATGCTCACCCAGGAGTTGTACTGCTCGTAACGCCTCTTGAAGTGGATCATCCAGTTGCCCAGGGACTTGAGGGTATCAGGTGCCAGCTTCCTCCAGATGGCAGGGATCATGCCGTTGAAGAGGGCGCGTGCCACCTCATCCAGCTCACTACTCATGCCCACCTCACCAGCCAGAGCCTAAAGGCACAAAGACACATTTCTTAGTTCATGTCACCATACCAAACTATAGGTGTGGTATCTCACCTGGTTCCTTTAGTAAATATGCAATAGACAACAGCAAATGTTCTAAAGATAATTATACTTTTATGTAGATACAAAGGAAGGCCACATGACAGTCTGTCCCTGTAGTTCTTCCTCTTTCACTACCCCTCACTGTTCCTGCCTGTCTCCTCCCCCTCTCTCACCCTCTGCAACTCAGCCAGAGAGCGTCCAATCCTGACGATGAGCTTGTTGAAGCGCTCCAGCTCCTGCAGCAGCACCACAGAGGTGGGGGAGATCTCCAAGCCAAACTTCTTACGGATCACGTCCAGGTCAAACACCTGGGGCAGCTTGTTCTGGATGTCCCGGGCCACGTTGCTGATGTACTCATCCCTGCTGATGCCTCCGCCAGACTCACCTGAGGACCACGACAGAAAGGTGAGGAGGCCAGATTACCTTCAGTCTGTGGGTGTGTGTGTGTGTGTGGTTTCTGTTACCAGTCTGAGGCTGCAGATCTATCAGATGGGTCCACATGTCGCGGGCTGCCTGTGTGTAGTATCCAATCTCAGCATTAGGGTGCAGACCAAACACCTCTGGAGTGTTGGCCAGGGGCAGGGTCTCAATCTCCCCTGTGATACATAGCAAGTCAATCAGAGAAGATGGATGACAACTACAAGTTAATAACAACAAGGGCTGTGCAGCAGAAATCGTATGTAAAAAGCTACATTTGTAGTCTGTATATCAGACCAGTGAACTACATCCACTGACCAACATAATTTTCCTTGGGCCCGTCAGGAGGGATCTTGTAGTCCACCTCCTTGTTGTGGAAGAAGTGGAAGGGTTGGAAGGTGTCAAAGATGAAGTCTCCCAGGTACTCATCCATGTAGACCGTCAGGATCCTGCGGTCAAAGCTATCTATACACCTGCCTCCATACATTACCTGAGAAAGGGAGTGTAAACACACACACACACACACACACACACACACACACACACACACACACAGCTAGGCTATTATACTAATAGGATTCTGTATTATCATTGTTAAGTCAATGTGATGTATGAAGAGGTGAGCCTGACCTCTCCTATGAGGTACTTGAGACTTCCCCAGGGGATCTTGGTGTCTCCCTGAGTGTGGGCTTTGGTCAAGTAGGTGTCCAGGATCTCCATGCACACCTGGTCAACATAGGAACATCCACATCAGCACACACAAAGAGTGGAGTTACAGACATTACATTTAAACTGATCAGCAAAAGGAAATTACTATGAAGTAAATGGAAATGTAATCAATAGTGTAAGTCCTGTGGATGCTGTTAAAAACAGTAATTTTCCCACTCACCTGGAAGTCAGACTCGTTAAAGTCGTAGGACACGTTCCAGCCGATCTTGCCGTATTTGCGTCTCTCCTGCACCACAGCGTGGAAGAACGACAGCACATAGACCAGACTGCGGTAGGCCGGGTGGGGGCAGCCCATCAGAGTCTCGTGGGCGATCTTAAAGAAGGTTGCCCTCATGTTCAGCTTCAGCCCGTTGGGAGGCTCTGTCACCACCTGGACAAACAGAGACACAGAGATCAGGTCCTAAAGCTCAATTCGCTTCAATCCTCAATGGCTCAGTTCTGCCGTGATTAGGTGAACGAATCTGGCTGGGAAGACTGTATGGTGTTGGAAGAGTGAATCAGAGACGGACAGACACTTTATCATAAAACTAAGTCACATTGTATACAGTTAGCTGCAGTAAGCAACAGTCTGTGTTAGCTACAGTAGGTAGCAGGCCTGTTTGACTGAGTTAGAGCTCTTCCTCACCTTGAGAGACTTCTGTAGGATGCCGATGGGAAAGTCTTTGATGGGGTCTGTGGTGAGCCACAGTCTGAAGTCAGGGTGTGCCTTGGTGATCCTCTCCAGGGACTTCTCTAGGTCCTTCAGCCACTTCACCAGCAGGTGGCAGTTCTGCAGCATCAGCCACTGGCCCCGAGATACCGCCGTCTCCAGCAGCTGCAGCGCCACCTACAGCACACAACAACAATACTGTATCGTACTAACAACATTACAATTAGCTTTGTGGTTGAATGTGCACCAAAAGTACATGTGGTAACATTGGAAGCTCTATCGCTGTGATTAATGAGTGTTGTCTGGTACCTTCTCCTGGCCTTGTCCCATGGCCAGAAACTTGAGCCTGCTGCCCCCAAAGCCAGACCTCTCAGCCAGCTTCATGAGATCACTGGCTGGGTCGGAGCCGGGGCTCAGGATGAACACGATCGGGGAGTTGGGTGTGCTCTGCTCATAGATGGCCTCGAAACTGATCACAGGGGGCTGCACATACCTGAGAGGGAGGGGGTCGAGGTAGACAGTGGAACGTGAATAGGGAGAAACACTGAGTCCACAAGTCAAGGTATTTTGGATCAAAGCAATAGGAGTTCAGGTTTGTTTACAAGTAGGAGAACGCTCTATTACTTCTCTCCCATGGTGATGGTGACATAGTCAGTGACAGCCCGGTAGACTCTGTCCAGGCGGAAGCAGCGCAGTAACAGCAGCTTCTGGAAGGCAGTCAGGTTCTCTTTATACTTAATGGGGAAGGGCGCCTGCTCCGGCCCATCCAGGTCATACCACTGAGAGGACAGCAGAGAGGAAGGTTAACAATGAACCATTCTACATAGGAACATATTCAGTGTGTCACTAGGTCACAAGATTGGATGGTGTTACTCACAGTCTTCCACTCTGGCAGGTTCTTCTCCACGTCGTCTGGTAGAGTGCCAAACTCAGCAGGGAAGAGCTCAGCCAGTCGTATGATGTCCTCCCAGCCCTGGCCTGGAAGCCAGGGACACGGCTTCTTCCTCTTGCTCATCTCCAGGGACAGGTTGCCTGGATTGGAGAGCACAGAGAGAGAAATGTAAGTGTTAAAAGTGTATGTGAGTTATGTCTCCAAGTTGGTGTGCTGTGTTTATGTGAGTGTATGGTAGATTACATCATATGATGTCTCTCACCCTTGAGGAAGAACTCCAGCTCCTCCTGGGGAGCCCTCCCCTCTGGCTGCCCAATCTTTATGGTCAAGTTGAAGGAGAACAGCAGTTTGTGTCTCTCAAACAGACCTGAGGAGTCACTCACACACATACACACACACACCACACCACACACCACGCAGCACACACAGTTTCGTATCAATCCCAACTTCACATAACTGTTCCCACAAAAGTCCAGGTTCTACCATTCCTGGACACCCTGTCACCTCACCTGTGCATCCATAGTTGTAGACGTTGTATGTCAGGGTGTCCATGATATTCTTCAGCCTCTTGGGCAGGATGGAGTCAGGCAGGGACTTGCGCAGGGAGAAGTCAAACACCTCCAGGTAGGAGGCCAGAGAGTACTGGTACATGCTGTTCACCAGGGCCATCTCCGCCAGCACAAAGAACAGGATGGCACCGCGCTTGGCAGCGGGACGGTAGCCATCTCGCAGCTTATCAATGTCTGTTGATGTCTTCTCTGCCAGCTTCAGCTTCTCAAACACCTGGGGGGTTACATTAGAGAACACAGACAAAGCATTAAGATTGCCCAGGCCTCATGCTCTCTGACGTCTTCCCCTTGAGAGTGAGTGTATCCCTGTCTCCAGACGTACCTCGCTGGCCTTGGACTTGGTCTCCTCCAGAGTGTGGACCAGCTCCACGTTATCCAGCATGTTGCCTGTGGAGGTGGAGAGCTCCCTCAGCAGAGAGTCCTCCAGGTCTTTCAGCAGCTTCTTGTTCTCACTGGTCTCCTGGATCAGCCTCTCCCGCTGCTCTTCCAGCTCCTTACGCTCAAAGCCCACGATCACACTCAGCAGCTGGTCCTCCAGACCCTTCAGCGTCACTGAGAGAGACACACACACGCATGCACACACACACGCACACAAACTGTTACCCCACACACTCACACCACATACAGTATAGACACAGGTGTCCTGACATACAGAGACGTCTCACCAGTGTAGTTGATGACCATAGCCTTCCCGAACACAGAGGGAGAGTACTTGGGGTTGGACAGCTTGGTGTTGAGGTAGAGTTTGAAGTTGGGGTCGTAGTCTACCTCCTTGTCCCCCAGCGTTATAACCTGCCGGCCCTCGGCTCCTTTCACGTTCTTCTCCAGGACGTTGTCGATCACAGGGTCAATGTACTCATCCACGTCTTGGAACAGGAAGGGAAAGCCATACTTGATGGCCATCTCCAGCTGCTTCAAGAAGTCTGGGTCATTGAATGAAGAGATCTATGGAAAAGGTAAATCACATACAGTGTAAGAATAACATCCAGTAAATGACTTCCAGTAATTTGCAAATGTTAAAGAATAATAGTTAGATCCTGTCAAGTCAGCTGATAAAGTCAGCCGTACCTTGAGGTTGAACTTCTCCTCCTTCTTTTTGATCCAGTTGAGGGCTTGCTGTTGGGGATCGATACACATGGGGAAGCGGCTGGCCCTGGTGGTCAGAATCCCGTTCTGGACTGACAGCTCATCTGGAGGCAGGCCCTCTGAGCCCCATCTACAACACAGACACCTTTACTCTCTCTATTCCTTTTACACAGACACAGACACGGAAACACATGCATAAAAAAAACACGCATTCACGAATGCAAGCATGAATGCACGTACGTACGTACGTACGCACACACACTTACACACACCAACACACAGGTACAGTCCACAGACTGTCTCTGACCTGCTGATCTCCACCTCGTCGGTTAGTAGGCTCTCCACTCTGAAGGGCTGGCTGAGAGGGATGCCTCTCTCCAACACATCCTTCTCCCACACGTCAAACACCATCTCATTCCTGAAGTCCCAGCTGAATGCCCCCTCGTAGCTCAGGAACGCAGCACAGATCAGGCAGTCGCCTAGGAGACGCACACGACGCTGCTTCAACTCCTCCAGGTCATCTGTCCATCTGGGAGGAGGAAGAAGGAGAGGAAGACGAGAAGAGGAGGAAGAGACAGATACAGAAAAGGTAGGGCACAGACGTCATTTCAACATCTAGTTTTGGTTTATATTTGATTGAGTTGTCAACTAACGTGAAATCAACAAAAACATTCACCATGTCATTGGATTTAGGTTCAAAGTTGGGTGAAAAAAAGACTGAATCCCCTTACGTTGATGACTTTTTGCAAATCCAATCAATTTTCCATGTTGATTCAACATCATCACATTGAAAGTTTTTGTTGAAATGACATGGAAACAACGTTGATTCAACCCGTTTTTGCCAAGTGGGATATACATTTACATTACATTTGAGTCATTTAGCAGACACTCTTATCCAGAGCGACTTACAAATTGGGGACATATAGACATGGTCCACAGCCTTCAACTGGCTGTAAGTCATGCTGAGTCTGTGTGTATATACACTCCACTGTGCTGTCCTCACCGCTCATTCTCCGAGCCCAGGCCTGAGATGAGTTTGTCAGCCGCGATCAGCCTCCTCTCCATGACCTCAGCCTCCTCCTGCAGCAGCTGCTTCTCCCCCATGGCAGCACTGTACTTGTCCCCCAGCGCCCCCAGCTCCCTCTGGATGGTCCCCAGCTCGTTCTGAATACGCTCCAGCTCACGCTTGCTCTGGAAGAAGTTCTTCTCTAGGCGCGCCACCTGCAACAGACAGCCAGGGGGGTTGAAACACCACTAACACAACACTGCTGATTCTTATAGGCTGGTGCAATTTAACTGGCATGGGCCGTGTGCTGGATAGTGTTATGCCTAAAACGTAATCAAAAGAGATCCATGACTATGGCACTTCCCCTGTGCCGATCAAAGTAAAAGTAACTATCTCTATGACATTGCCTGGATCATGTTACCTTCTCTCTCTTGGGCTTGATCTCCCTGGCGACGTCACAGTAGCCCATGACAGCCTCCACAAACTTGAGCATCCCAGAGCCAGCCTTACTGATGGCCTGCATCTCCTCAAAGCTGGTGTTCAGGTTCTTCAAGAAGCCTGGCCAGGGGAAACACAGGGCAATAGAGTGAACATATACAAGTAACTGCCAAAATAAAGGAAACACTTGAGTAAACGAGGCATACAAAGTATATTGAAATCAGGTGCTTCCACACAGGTGTGGTTCCTGAGTTAATGAATCTATTAACATCCCATCATGCTTAGGGTCATGTATAAATATGCCCAGTTGCCGATTATTTTGGCTACCATGGCTAGAAGAAGAGCTCTCAGTTACTTTGAAAGAGGGGTCTCAAAGGAGCATAGGGGATTTAAAGTGTGTGTGTGTGTGTGTGTCTCAGTCACCACTCACCAGATCTCAACACTTATGGGAGATTCTGGAGCGGTGCCTGAGACAGCATTTCCCTCCACCACAAACACCAAATTATTTATTGTGGAACAATGGTGTCGCATCCCTCCAACAGAGTTCCAGACACTTGTAGAACTTCCGCCAAGGAGCATTGAAGCTGTTCTTGCGGCTCATGGTGGCCCAACACCCTATTAAGACACTGTTGGTGTTTCCTTTATTTTGGCAGTTACCTGGTATTTGCTTTTTGAGTGCTCATAATGTACAGTGAGGGAAAAAAGTATTTGATCCCCTGCTGATTTTGTACGTTTGCCCACTGACAAAGACATGATCAGTCTATAATTTTAATGGTAGGTTTAATTGAACAGTGAGAGACAGAATAACAACAAAAAAATCCAGAAAAACGCATGTCAAAAATGTTATAAATTGATTTGCATTTTAATGAGGGAAATAAGTATTTGACCCCTCTGCAAAACATGACTTAGTACTTGGTGGCAAAACCCTTATTGGCAATCACAGAGGTCAGACGTTTCTTGTAGTTGGCCACCAGGTTTGCACACATCTCAGAAGGGATTTTGTCCCACTCCTCTTTGCAGATCTTCTCCAAGTCATTAAGGTTTCGAGCCTGACGTTTGGCATCTCGAACCTTCAGCTCCCTCCACAGATTTTCTATGGGATTAAGGTCTGGAGACTGGCTAGGCCACTCCAGGACCTTAATGTGCTTCTTCTTGAGCCACTCCTTTGTTGCCTTGAACGTGTGTTTTGGGTCATTGTCATGCTGGAATACCCATCCACGACCCATTTTCAATGCCCTGGCTGAGGGAAGGAGGTTCTCACCCAAGATTTGATGGTACATGGCCCCGTCCATCGTCCCTTTGATGCGGTGAAGTTGTCCTGTCCCCTTAGCCGAAAAACACCCCCAAAGCATAATGTTTCCACCTCCATGTTGATGGTGGGGATGGTGTTCTTGGGGTGATAGGCAGCATTCCTCCTCCTCCAAACACGGCGAGTTGAGTTGATGCCAAAGAGCTCTATTTTGGTCTCATCTGACCACAACACTTTCATCCAGTTCTCCTCTGAATCATTCAGATGTTCATTGGCAAACTTCAGACGGGCCTGTATATGGGCTTTCTTGAGCAGGGGGACCTTGCGGGCACTGCAGGATTTCAGTCCTTCACGGCGTAGTGTGTTACCAATTGTTTTCTTGGTGACTATGGTCCCAGCTGCCTTGAGATCATTGACAAGATCCTCCTGTGTAGTTCTGGGCTGATTCCTCACCGTTCTCATGATTATTGCAACTCCACGAGGTGAGATCTTGCATGGAGCCCCAGGCCGAGGGAGATTGACAGTTATTTTGTGTTTCTTCCGTTTGCGAATAATTGCACCAACTGTTGTCACCTTCTCACCAAGCTGCTTGGCGATGGTCTTGTAGCCCATTCCAGCCTTGTGTAGGTCTACAATTTGACCCTGACATCCTTGGAGAGCTCTTTGGTCTTGGCCATGATGGAGAGTATGGAATCTGATTGATTGATTGCTTCTGTGGACAGGTGTCTTTTATACGGGTAACAAGCAGAGATTAGGAGCACTCCCTTTAAGAGTGTGCTCCTAATCTCAGCTCGTTACCTGTATAAAAGACACCTGGGAGCCAGAAATCTTTCTGATTGAGAGGAGGTCAAATACTTATTTCCCTCATTAAAATGCAAATCAATTTATAACATTTGTGACATGCGTTTTTCTGGATTTTTTTGTTGTTATTCTGTCTCTCACTGTTCAAATAAACCTACCATTAAAATGATTGACTGATCATTTCTTTGTCAGTGGGCAAACGTACAAAATCAGCAGGGGATCAAATTTTTCCCTCACTGTATGTTAAAGTTGCAATATGTATATAGTTAGACCTATTGTTGTCCTGTTTTGGCATGAACACCACAGAACAGAAGTGACCTACCTACCTCTGACAGTCTTGACCTGGCTGGGGTTGATGGCATCACAGTCCATCTCCATCAATGCGCGCAGGAAGTTGCCCTCTGACATCATGCTCTTGGCTGACTTCCAGCTGATCTCCTTCTGGCCTCGCATTACCAGGATGCACTCACATACCACCTGCACCTGTTTGGGTGGCTTGGCAAATGATCTGCAAGGGTTGGCGCGCCAGACGAGAAGACAGAAGCACAACCAGAGAGACAGGCACAGGAAAACAATAATCAATGAACATGAATGGAGCTCTAGGGCAACAACTTTTGTTAAAGCTGGAAACAGCGCCACTGTTTGCCGTAGCGCCTTTGTTATTATTTTGTTGATGAAACAGAGGAGAGGAACGTCTGGTATCATGGTAAAAAAATTAAAATATATCGCAGTACATACTCTGCTGTTCTATTGCGCATGTAATGATGTCTGAGGGAAAAAAACAGTGTTCGTTATTTGAAGTAACTTCTTTGTTGTTGTAATATCCCAAACTGACGTAGCAGATTCACCAAGTACAAATTGCTATTTTAAACGAGTCAAGCGGGAAAACAATCTAAACCAGAATGTCACGACCTCCTCCGAGGCTGCCTCCTCTCCTTGTTCGGGCAGGCTTTGCCGTTCGTCGTCACCGGCCTTCTAGCCACTGCCGCTCCTCATCTCATCATTCCATTTGTTTTGTCTTGTTTATTACACACACATGGTTCATATCCCCTCATCAGTACCTGTATTAGTGTTCCCTTTGCCCCCTTGTCTTTGTGTGTGATTGTTTATTGTGGAGGAGAGAGAGCTCTGTGTATTTTTTATCGCTGGGAGATTTCCCTGTGTGCCTTGTATTTTCCAGTGCTCCTGTTTTGCGCACTGGAGTGTTTTTACGCATTACTGCGTAACTCTGTGGTTCAGAATAAATCCTGTTATTCTGTGATTTACCCTCCTGCGCCTGACTCCTTCAAAATCACCTCATCACAGAATCACACACCGCGACCAAGGAGTCAGCAGGAGAGAAGCACCTGCCTGGAGTCGTGGCACGGGTCCGGGAGCATTCGACTATGCTAATCAGCTTGGGAGAAGCGATGGATCGGGTTCTCCAGGTTGTCCAATGCCTGAAGAGGAGAAGACCCGATCTTTCGGGACCAGCTGAGCGACCGGATCCAGCCACCCACACTCCAGCACCCAGAGGGATTCATATATCTCGACCATGGGATTTTGACGGGACAGCTGCCCTCTGCCAGGGATTCCTCCTACAAATGAATTTATACTTCTCAACCATCAGGCCGGCTCCATCGGAGCGGGTGAGGTGTCCGCCCTCGTCTCCTGCCTCTCAGGGAAAGCCCTGGAGTGGGCCAACGCGGTCTGGAGTGAAGGAGGAGCCGCGTTGGACAACTACGGGGAGTTCGCTCGCCTCTTTCGGGCAGTCTTCGATCATCCGCCCGAAGATAGAGAGACGGGCGAGCGGCTGGTCGGACCAGCCGAGATGATGGAGCGGCGATCCGGGAGAGCGGAGGACGACAGCGCCAGTGTCACTCTTGTGGCACGGGAGGACATTCTGCTGCATGCTGTCGTCGGCGTTCTTTTGGGTCTGGAGGCGGCAGGCAGGGCACTCTCGCGTCACCCCAGGAATCGAACACTCACACTCGTTCAGAGCCCTCTGCTGTGCACTGTACCCTACACATCCACTTTCCTGATTACACGGTAGTTCCACAGTGTAAGGCGCTAGTCGATTCAGGCGCAGCTGGGAACTTTATGGACAGGTCATTTGCACATAGTCTAGGCATTACATTGGTTCCCCTATCCATTCCACTCCCCATCAGAGCATTTGACAGTCGACCATTAGGTTCCGGGTTCGTTAGGGAAGTTACAGCACTAGTCACTATGGATACGCACAAGACTCATCGAGAGCAAGTCACATTTTTTATTATTGAGTCTCCTGATTTCCCTGTCGTGTTAGGTCTTCCCTGGTTAGCACTACACAACCCCACCTTTTCATGGCTGCAGAGGGATCTAACCGGGGTGGTCGCGAGAGTGTCCGGGTAGGTGTCTAGGTGTTTCCGTTGGTGCAACCACGGTGGAAAGTCCAGACACTACCTCCACCGTGCGCATTCCCCCCGAATACCTCGATTTGGCGCACACGTTTTCCAAAACGCAGGCGACCAAATTACCACCTCATTGGGCGGGGGATTGCGCGATAAACCTCCGGATGGATGCTGTGCCTCCCAAGAGTCACGTCTATCCCCTGTCGCAGGCTGAAACGGAGGCTATGGAGCCATACGTGTCCGAGTCCCTGCTCCAGGGGTTCATACGTCCCTCCACTTCGCCTGCCTCCTCAAGTTTATTTTTTGTGAAGAAGAAAGACGGAGGTCTGCGCCCTTGCATTGATTACCGAGCACTGAACAAGGGGACAATACGTTATAGTTATCCTCTACCCCTCATTCCATCTGTGATCGAGTCAATGCATGGGGTGCACTTCTACACAAAATTAGATCTCCGGTGTGCGTACAACCTGGTGCGTGTCCGAGAGGGGGACGAGTGGAAGACCGCATTCAGCACAACCACGGGGCATTACGAATACCTGGTGATGCCTTACGGTTTGATGAACGCTCCATCCGTCTTCCAGTCCTTGTGAATGAGGTGTTTCGGGACATGCTTGGTCTGTTTTTCCAACAGTCCGTCTCCTTCCTCGGATACCGCATTACCACCTCAGGTGTGGAGATGGAGGGAGATTGCATTTCAGCCGTGCGTAATTGGCCGACTCCAACCACGGTCAAGGAGGTGCAGGGCTTTATTGGCTTTGCCAACTACTATCGGAGGTTTATCCGGGTCTTTGGCAAGGTCGCAGCTCCCATCACATCCCTGTTGAAGGGTGGGCCGTCCTGGCTCCGCTGGTCTGCTGAGGCTAACAGGGCCTTCAGTAACCTGAGGGTTCTGTTCACCTCAGCCCCGGTACTGGCCCATTCCGATCCATCACTACCGTTCGTAGTGGAGGTGGATGCGCCCGAGGTAGGGATAGGTGCTGTCCTCGGGCACGCCACCCAAACTCCGACCCTGTGCTTTCTTTTCCAAGATGCTCAGCCCGGCGGAGAAGAACTATGACGTTGGTGATCGGGAGCTGTTGGCTGTTGTCCGAGCCCTGACCGTGTGGAGGCACTGGCTAGAGGGGGCAAAACACCCTTTCCTCGTCTGGACGGACCACCGTTACCTGGAGTACATCCGGGCAGCGAGGAGGCTGAACCCTCTCCAGGCCAGGTGGGCCCTATTGTTCACCCGGTTTGATTTTACTCTATCTTACATCCCGGGTACGAAGAAAGTGAAGGCAGACGCACTGTCACGGCTGTACGACACAGAGGAGAGGCCCATAGACAACACCCCCATACTCCCGGCCTCCTGCATTGTGGCACCGGTAGTATGGGCGATGGACGCGGACATAAAGCGGGTGTTACGCACAGAGCCATCTCCACCTCAGTGCCCAGCTGGGCTGCAGTACGTGCCTTCTCTTGTCCGTGACTGTCTGATCTATTGGACACACACAGCCCCCTCCTCTGGTCACCCAGGTATCGGTCGTACAGTGCGCTGCCTGACCGGGAAGTACTGGTGGCCTACCTTGGCTAAAGACATGAGGATGTATGTCTCCTCCTGCTCGGTGTGCGCCCAGAGTAAGGCACCTAGGCACCTCCCAGCGGGTAAGTTACAGCCCTTACCAGTTCCACAACGGCCATGGTCCCACTTGTGTATATTCTTCCCTACTGATCTTCCCCTCTCTCAAGGTAACACCACCATCCTTGTCGTTGAGGACCGCTTTTCCAAAGCCTGCCGCCTCCTTTCTCTGCCCGGTCTCCCCACGGCCCTGCAGACTGCGGAGGCCCTGTTTACAAACGTCTTCCGGCACTACGGGGTGCCAGAGGACATAGTGTCTGAACGGGGTCCCCAGTTCACATCCAGGGTCTGGAAGGCGTTCATGGAACGTCTGGGGGTCTCGGTCAGCCTGACCTCTGGTTTTCACCCCGAGTCTAATGGGCATGTGGAACATGTGAATCAGAATGTGGGTAGGTTCCTGCGGTCCTACTGCCAGGATCGGCCGGGGGAGTGGTCGGTGTTCTTGCCATGGGCCGAATATGTCCGAACTCTCTCCGCCACTCCTCCACTAACCTAACGGCATTTCAATGTGTTTTAGGTTATCAGCCGGTTCTGGCACCGTGGCATCAGAGCCAGACCGAGGCTCCTGCGGTGGATGACTGGTTTCGGCGTGCGGAGGAGATGTGGAACGCTGCTCACATCCACCTCCAATGCGCCGTGGGTCGCCAGAAGGCCAACGCTGACCGCCACCGTAGTGAGGCCCCGGTCTTCGTACCGGGTGATTGGGTCTGGCTCTCGACCCGGAATCTGCCCCTCCGCCTGCCCTGCCGGAAGCTGAGCCCGCGGTTTGTGGGGCCGTTCAAAGTCCTGAGGAGAATAAACAAGGTTACCTATAGGTTACTACTCCCTCCAGATTACCGCATTAACCACTCGTTCCATGTGTCTCTCCTTAGGCCGGTGGTGGTTGGTCCGCTCCAGGAGTCTGAGGTGGGAGAGGTCCCTCCGCCCGGCGTACTCCGTCCGTTCCATCCTGGATTCGAGGCGTCGGGTGGGGGGCCTTCAGTACCTCGTGGAGTGGGAGGGGTACGGTCCGGAGGAGCGGTGCTGGGACCCGGTGAGGGATATCCTCGATCCCTCCCTTTTGCGGGATTTCCACCGCCGCCATCCGGCTCGCCCTGCTCGACGTCCTCCTGGTCGTCCCCGAGGCCGGTGTCGGTGCGCTGCTGGAGCTGCGTGTCAAGGGGGGGTACTGTCACAACCTCCTCCGAGGCTGCCTCCTCTCCTTGTTCGGGCAGGCTTCGCCGTTCGTCGTCACCGGCCTTCTAGCCACTGCAGCTTCTCATCTCATCATTCCATTTGTTTTGTCTCGTTTATTACACACACCTGGTTCATATCCCCTCATCAGTACCTATATAAGTGTTCCCTCTGCCCCCTTGTCTTTGTGTGTGATTGTTAATTGTGGAGGAGAGAGAAGCTCGGTGGAGCTCCGTGTATTTTGTATCGCCGGGAGATTTCCGCCTGTTTTGCGCACTGTAGTGTTTTTACGCATTACTGCGTAACTCTGTGGTTCAGAATAAATCCTATTATTCTGTGATTTACCCTCCTGCGCCTGACTCCTTCAAAATCACCTCATCACACAGAAAATGTTTGTTTAGTTTTTATCCATTGGCAAAAACTACACCTCTCCAAGGGGGGAATATACAGCGTCTCAACACAGGACTGCAAGATCTGTAAAATAGGATTTATAGTGACTTCAGAAAGTATTCACACCCCTTGACTTTTACCACATTTTGTTGTGTTACAGCCTGAATTTATAAAAGATTGGATTTGAGATTTTGTGTCATTGGCCTACACACAATACCCCATAATGTCAAAGTGGAATTATGTTTTTAGAAATGTTTACAAATTAATAAAAAATGAAAAGCAGAAATGTCTTGAGTCAATAAATATTCAACCCCTTTGTTATGGCAATCCTGAATAGGTTCAGGAGTAAAAATGTGCTTAACAACTCACATAATATGTTGCATGGACTCCCACTGTGTTTAATAATAGCGTTTAACATGATTTCTGAATGACTAGCTCATCTCTGTACCCCACACATACAATTATCTGTAAGGTCCCTCAGTCAAGCAGTGAATTTCAAACACAGATTCAACAACAAAGACCAGGGAGGTTTTCCAATGCCTCGCAAAGAAGGGCACCAATTGGTAGATGAGTAAATATAAAAAAAATAAGACTTTGAATATCCCTTTGAGCATGGTGACGTTATTAATTACACTTTGGATGGTGATTCAATACACCCAGTCACTACAAAGATACAGGCGTCCATCCTAACTCAGTTGCCAGAGAGGAACGAAATCCACTCAGGGATATCACCATGAGGCAATGGTGACTTTAAAACAGTTAGAGTTTAATGGCTGTGATAGGAGAAAACTGAGGATGGATCAACAACATTGTAGTTACTCCACAATACCAACCTAAACGACAGAGTGAAAAGAAGGAAGCCTGTACAGAAAAAAAATATTCCAAAACATGCATCCTGTTTGCAATAAGATGGTAAAGTAAAACTGCAAAAAATGTGGCCAAAACAATTAACTTCATTTCCAAAATACAAAGCGTTATGTTTGGGGCAAATCCAACACAACACATCACTGAGTACCACTCTTCATATTTTCAAGCATGATGGTGGCTGCATCATGTTATGGGTATGCTTGTCATCGTCAAGGAGTAGGTTTTTTATCCTTTTTTTAGGATAAAAAGAAACGGATTAGAGCTAAGCACAGGCAAAATCCTAGAGGAAAACCTGGTTCAGTATGCTTTCCAACAGATACTGGGAGACAAATTCACCTTCAGCAGGACAATAACCTAAAACATTAGGCCAAATATACACTGGAGTTGCTTACCAAGATGACATTGAATGTTCCTGAGTGGTCTAGTTACAGTTTTTACCTAAATTGGTTTGAAAATCTTTGGCAAGACTTGAAAATGGCTGTCTAGTAATGATCAACCAACTTGACAGAGCTTGAAGATTTTTTTAAAGAATAATGTGCCAATATTGTACAATCAGGTGTGCAGAGCTCTTTGAGACTTACCCAGAAAGACTCACAGATATAATTACTGCCAAAGGTGATTCTAACATGTATTGACTCAGGGGGTTGAATACTTATGTAATCAAGATATATTAGTGTTTTATTTTTCATTTTAAAAAATACAAATGTTAGAAGTTTTCTTCCACTTTGACATTGAGTATTCTGTGTAGATCGTTGACAAAAAATGACAATTAAATCAATTTTAATCCCACCTTGTAACAACAAAATGTGGAAAAATACAAGGGGTGTGAATACTTTCTGAAGGCACTGTACGTTCTTTGGAGGAGTGTTGAAATTTAGTTTTTTATGAATTAGGATAAGGATCACGGAAAAAAGCATAGGTCACACTAGGTTCGTACTTACATCTTCCTTCAACAGATGGCATAAAAACTCGAAACGTATTCACAGTGAATGTTTTTAAAGTGTGGGAGTGATGTATTTTATATTATATGTTTTTATTGATTTGTGTCTAACCAAAGCTGCCTCCTCTATCTATGAAGTTAGTGGTCTGGACCAGGTTTGTTCAGTTCCGCTCCTGGAGGTCTGCTTTGCTCTGTGTAAGCTTTTAAAGCCACTGAGTAACTTGTTCCATTAATCAACATCAAACATTTCCCAAAATCACCATCTGTAATTTTCCTATGACACAATTTTCCTTCGTTCAAAGCCAAGGGCCGGGGAAGAGGCCAGATGACAACGTGACACTCCATCAGGACCAGACTGCTGACTCCTGGCCCATACTTTCTGATCTGTCTGATGAGACTCACCACTACATTATGAGTGCCTCCAAAATTACACTCTATTCCCTATATAGTGCACAGTCAAAAGTAGTGCACTATATAGTGAATAGGGTGCCATTTGGGACACAACCTCTGTTTAACTTGTGGGACACAGAATCAGGGGGGGTGATGTGGAGCAGAGCAAAGCAGAGCACAGAGGGGGGAAGGCAGGGAGGGGCACCTGATCTCAGTGACGTCAGACTTGTCCAGGCTCTGCAGGGCGATGCGGGCTGCCTCCAGAGCAGGCAGGGCCTCAGCCAATGAGCTCTCAGCATCCCTCTTCTCCACAGCGATCACCTTGTTCTGCTCCTCGATCTCCTTGGCTTTGTCCTCCGCCAGCTTCTTCTTCTCCTCAGCTACATGAGAAGGAGAGTTTTGTTTACTTGTGCTGCCCTGTGGGCTATAATTAACATGGTATTGGTACAGCGAACGTGTCTTAAGGCTGCTTCCCAAATAGCACCATATTCCCTATATAGTGCATTAGCGTATGAGCCCTGGTCATAAGTAATGCACTAAATAGGGAATAGGGTATATGGAATTGGGGGACATTTGGAACTAAGCCTAATGCTGTGTTGACTGCACTGACCCACGGTGGTGTTGGTGGCTATCTCCTGCAGTAGGATCTCACAGGCGGAGGATTTCTCTGCTAGAACCACCTTCTGCTCTGCCAGCTTGATGTTGAGCTCAGCTAGCTGCACACTGGCCTCCTCCAGCTTATCCAGACCACCCTCCAGACGCTTACACTGAGCTGGGACACCACACAAGGGACAGAGGGAAAAAATAATACCATCGCAATACAGCACAGCAGTAGCAGAGAACCAAGGCTCTTTAATTAGGCTTGATATTTTTCCCACTCTGTGCTGCCTCTTACCCAGGATGTATTGGTCCTTGTCCTGCAGGAGGTTGGCGTAGGTGCTGATGAAGTCCAGGTAGTTCTTGGGGGTGACGTAGTTGCTGCGTCTGAGTTTCTGCAGGAACATCTTGCTGTAGTCACCCACCGAGCCGTGCACCATACACACGTGAGCAATTACGGCTGCCGAGTGCCTCTCAGGAATCATCGGGCTCTCACCTGTGGCATGACATTGATTGGTTCAGTTGCACCACTATAAAGCTTGTATGAACACCCTAATCACAGTCAGAGATAAATTAATTGATTGTACAATTCTAGTACATTGTAGTGGTGGTGGAAGCGTGAATCTGTGCTTCCATACCCAGGAAGGACTGAGCCACAGCATGTAGAGCCTGAGGAGGCCATGGCAGGAACCAGTCAATCCCAGTGTTGTTCACCAGCCCTGTGACATAAACGAGACAAGGAGCATTTACATCGATTCTTCAGACAATAGACAAAGCCAAGTGAACAGTAGTGAAGGGTTGTGTACCTGGGAAGTTCCTGCAGCGTGTCCTCAGGGTGTCTCCCACAGGGGACATTCCCAGGACAATGTGCAGGTTGTTGGCACTCTTGTTGACAAAGTACTGCCACACGCTCTCCTTGGACGGGCCAGAGCCCATCTTCATGGCCTCATCACGGAGCTGGTTCAGCACCATCTCCTTCTCATCATCTGGGAACAGAGCAGGGACCATACCTGCACACACAGAGCGTTAGTCAGACTGCAGAGCCAGACACAGTGGGCAGGGCTATAGACAGCCAGTGGCTGAGTCCCAAATGGCACCCTATTCCCTAGATATTGCACTACTTTGGACCAGAGCCCTATCTGGTCCAAAGTAGTGCACTATCTAGGGAATAGGGTGCTATTTGGGATGCACACAATGTGTGGGAGCTGGTGTATGCTCAAGTTTTTACCCGAGGTGAGCATATTGTTGATGAGTTCCAGGAAGCCCTCCTCAGCCACGTGGGCATCAGTGAAGAGGAAAACCGTCTTCTTGTCCTCAATGCCCAGCTTCAGATACAGGATCTTCAGGTCCTCACGGAGGTTGGTCTCTGAGTAGCCTCTGCTCAGTGTAATCTCAAACACCTTGAGAGGCAAACAACAGTCCATATAAGAAGGTATTTTTCTGGTGTCTCATTAAAGGTGTCCTCCCCTATTAGCAGTAGCAGAGGATGGATGTGTCCCAAATGGAACCTTATTCCTTACATAGTGCACTACTTTTGACCAGAGCAAAAGTAGTGCACAATATAAGGAATAGGGTAACAGTTGGGATGCGAAATATGTGTCTGGCTGACCTCGCAACCTGCGGTAAATGCGGCCAGTTTGGTAAGGGACTGCTTCCCGGAGCCGCCCACCCCCACCAGCAGGGCGTGGCCGCGGTCCATCCTGATGATGCGGTGCACTCTGGTCAGGTGCTCCAGGGCGTCGTCAAACAGAACCAGTTTCATCCTGGTCTTGTTCTCATTGTACTCCTCCAGGATCTCCTACAGAGCAGTGACAGGGACAGGTCAGCAACGAGACAAAGGCTTGAGACTGGGCAAACTGTAAAGTTGTGATATTTTGAACATATTGAAAAAAGGGTGCTGTTTAATTTTGCCTAGTACAGATGACAGGGGACAATAATAAATGTAAAAATCCAACACACGTTTGAAAGTCATCATCCAAACTTCTGAGTACCTGGAACAAGGCTTTGGAAGCGTCATAGTCCTGTATGTCCTCATAGACGCGTGGCTCAGACTCGTTGAGGGCGGTTCTGTAGTCACCAAACAGGATGGGGTCCCTCATGGCTGACTCCAAGTCTGACTTAAAGTGCTCATCTATCAGGTTCTGTATATGGCCCTGGACCTGAGACAACAAGACAGGGGACAGATGAGAATGGAAAACAAGTACAATATAGTAAGAGGAAGTTACTGTAAAGTCATTAATACATTTTTCAAGATTAAGCAGAACAGAATCATGCAGATGAACGTACCAGAGCTTTGTCTATTTCATTGATGAGCCTGTCATGGAAGACCCTCAGGCACTCATTCCTCCACACACGCACAAACTGGGTGACTGTCAGAAACCTACAGAAGAGAAACGTTCAGAGACTTAACATGACACAACACTTAACATGAGCTTCTAGGTGTTAGTAACATCTTCTTAACACATGTTATTTAGATTCAACTGAGGGTAATGTTTAAGACCTCTCAGCGTTGGTGAGGACCAGACCGTTGTAGACCCTGGACAGGTCCCTGAGGTTGAAGATGTAGTGGAACTTGGATGGCGTGGGCGGCAGGTCTTTGATGATGTTCTTGTACAGCTCCAGAGTGCAGAAGGTCAGCTTGTCACACATCTTCTGGATGCACTCCTCAAACGGCTACGGTTTAAATGGTTAGAGTACAATCAAGTCATTTCATACAATAGTTAATGTGTGGGAATGCTGTTTTTGGTGGTAACAGCTGTATTTTAACATCTGTGACAGTGTGTCTCACCCTGGTGTGTCCTTTGAGGATGGAGGAGTAGATGAGATGGAGGGAGTCCTCGTCTGGGAAGGGGATGTTGAAGACACTGAAGAGGGAGATGAAGCGGGTGTCCACCTCGTTCCTCCCACCTCCTGCCTTCCCCATGGCTGCGATGAAGCCCAGGTCCTTCAGAACTTTGTAGTTCAGCTCCTTCCCTCTGTCGTACATGCCTCCTCGGTCCAACAGCAGCTTCAGCAGGGCAATGGGCTGCTGGGTCCCATACTCATCCACCTGATAGGACACAGGTACAATTACACACCAACATACAATCAACCAGACAAACCAACACGCTAACCTACATTAACACAGACACACATGCAAAGGATGCAGGTTGAGGAATGGAAGAGAGGGTGATGGGGTGCCAGAGAAGAGCAGGCAGGTACCTACCCTGGGCATGTTGAGGTCATCCATAAAGACCAGCAGTCTCTTGCCCATGGGAGGGCCGTATATCTCCTTGGTCCTCTTCTCCACGCTGGCCTCAAGGTTCCTCTGGAGGTCCATGGAGGTGGTCCGTGATGAGAAGTTGATGGTCAGCATCATCTGGAGACACAAGGAAGCAACATTAAACATAGTTCATACACATGGTGTGTGTCCTAAATTGGACTTGGTCAAAAGTAGTGCACTGAATAGGGAATAGGTTGCCATTTCAGTGTCATGTGCTCTGCCTGTGTCTCTGTGACATCCTATGTTGTAAACTCACGGTAGTGTCCATGTTGAGGTTCTTCAGGAAATTCTGAGTAGTGGCTGTCTTGGAGGTGCCAGACTCTCCCACCAGAACTACAGGCCTCTTGATCTTCACCATCTGCTCCAGTAGCCAGCTGGCTTGCGTGGTGTCCACGGTAGGGACTGTAAGAAAGAGATGAAGAGAGAGATTGAGAGAGATAGAGAAAGAGAGAGATGGAGGAGGGAAAAAGAGGGAGAAGGAAGAGGGAGAAGAACAATTATGGTGAGGGAGAAAATGAAAGTGAGGTTTGAAAAAATGGTACATTTGCTATCTGTAGGAATCCAGTGGATGGCTTATTTATTTGTTTTCTGATGAGCACATATGCATTGATGCTTTACCCAGGATATCGATGAACTTCACATCAGGGCTGTGGATGTATTTGGTGACCAGGGAGCTCCAGGTAACCCACTTCTTCTTGGTCCCATCAAAATGGAAATCGTACAGAGTTGGCAGGTAACCTGTGTGAACGGACATCCCAAATATTCATTTTATGAATAACTTGTAGTTTTGGGTATCTAATAGCTGAATTAAAAATTTAAGTATGACTGTATCTGACCCTTGGCTTGGACAGTTTGCCTCTCTCACCTGGAATCTCTCCAGGTCCAGCAAGAGCCTTCTCATCATGAACAGTGGTCAAGCTGGACAGTTTCTTGACAAAATCATCAAATTTGGCCCGTCCGTTGTCCAGCAGGCAGGCCCCCAGAGAGCAATACAGAGCCTCCAGGAAGAAACACTCCAGAACATCAGCATCATAGACCTCTGTCTCCAGCAGGGCATCCAGCATCATGGACAACTGTGTCACCTGTACACACAACACAACACAACACACAACAGACAGACAGACAGGGGTTATGGACAGCCATCATGAAAATGGACTATGGAACTAGAAATGTAGGGTAAGAAGTTTGCTGAATCCAATCTTAGGTGGGTGATACAGCAACTGATTTTGTTGCAGGAAATACTGCATTCTGTTCATGAGATTCAATTTGGGTAAATATAATTAGCAACATGTTATAACACTCATGTTATAACACTCGAGAAGGCCAGGCTGTACCAACCATGTTGAGATCTGTCTGAGGGACGATGGTCTTCAGTTTCTCCACCTGTTTGCCGTCAACAATACCCTCCACTATCATGTCGATAGTGCTGGGCACGTATTTTACAAACAGCTTCTCCAGGTGTGGCTGTTCCTGTCCAGGAAAAGACAAGTGGATACAAGATGAGACATTGCAACATCCATTTTGATAATGCTGAAAGGATAAATATTCTTTATGCATATTACTGTATCATGTCCTTACCTTTGGAGGTCTGTTGCTGACCCATTTCTGCCAGTAGGGCGTATAACGAAGATTTTTGGGGTCCACAAACACCATCCCACAGCGAGAGACTGTAGCAGGGGAGGCATACTGCAGATCTCCAACCTACAACACATGATGGACAATTTGATTTATGATTCGCATTGAGAAATTCTTTAAGTGATAGTTCACCCAAATTACAAAATGACACAATGATTTCCTTACCCTGTAAGCAGTCTATGGACAAGGTATGACAACAATTCATGCTTTGATTTAGTTTCCCTGGCACTGTTTCCACATGCTAACATTTTAGAATTTGTGGCACAAATCCTCTTCAAGTCATGAGACCGATATTAAAAAAAATGTGCGCATCATCTCCAAATTTTTCACAAGTATCTAAAATTGATTGTGAAGCTCAACAAAGTCACGTATAGATGATTTGAACATGCTAATATGGGTCCCATGACTTGAATGGGATTTGTGCCACAAATGCTAAAACGCTAGCATGTGGAAACAGTGCCAGGGAAACGAAACCAAATAATGGATTGCTGTCATACCTTGCCCATCGACTGCTTACAGGGTAAGGAAACCAATATGTCATTTTGTTATTTAATTGAACTATCCCTTTAACAACTGTGCAAGTAAGGTGTGGTCTGAAGAGACTATAGTGATCTTAGTGACAAACCTCAAATAGCATAGCACAGTGGTTCTGCAGGCGGATCCTCTCTCCATTGGCCAGGGTGAGCAGCTTGTTATCATCCATTACTGAGTTCATGTTCTCCACCCACAGAGCATCCACGTCCCCATCAAACAGGATGTACCTGTAGTTAAGGGTTCATGTGTCAACAAGAGATATACAGTCATGTCCCAAATTATTGGCACCCTTGATTATGATTAGCAAAAAAGACTGTATAAAATAAATAATACTAATACTGTGCTATACTGTATGGAAATTATGGAAATTATATTATTTTATACTAATACAATTGTTCAGAGAAAGTGATTTTGTTTTACAAGTAATATTTTTTTCTCAAAAAGATATGTGTCAAAAGGAGACTGAGATGGCCATTGCAAAATGTTGATTTTGTGGTCAATTAACCATTTCTTTGTGGATTTTGATGTGTGCTTGGGGTTATTGTTTTGCTGTAAGATCCCCTTGCGGACAAGTTTCATCCTACTGGCAGAGGCAACCAGCTTTTTGTCCTGGTGTTGGGTAAAGTTCATAATGCCGTAGACATTAACAAGGGCCCCAGGACCAGTGGAAGCAAAATAGCCCCATAACATTAAAGATCCAACACTATATTTTACAGTAGGTAATGGGTATGGGGTTATTTTCTGCTTACGCCCCCTTATTTCCTTATTGGTGTGCGTGGTCAAAGAGCTCTATTTTCATGTCATCCAACAAATGTAAACGCCTGGAGTTTGCTACCGGCATTGTCACTTGGATTGGAACTGGTGCTATGGTCAGATTACATGAAAATAGAGCAATTGTATTAGTATAAAATTATATAATTGTCCCTTTTTCTTTCTTCATACAATATAGCTAGCTCAGTATTTGTATTATACATTTTTACAATAATTGTGGACCTGACTAACGTTATGTATACAGTACCAGTCAAAAGTTTGGACACACCTACTCATTCAAGGGTTTTTCTTTATTTTTACTATTTTCTACCTTGTAAAATAATAGTGAAGACATCAAAACTATGAAATAACACATATAGCATCATGTTGTAACCAAAAAAGTGTTAAACAAATCAAAATGGAGATTCTTCAAATAGCCACCCTTTGCCTTGATGAAAGCTTTGCACACTCTTGGCATTCTCTCAACCAGCTTCACCTGGAATGCTTTTCCAACAGTCTTGAAGGAGTCCCCACTTTTCCTTCACTCTGCGGTCCGACTCATCCCAAACCATCCCAATTGGGTTGAGGTCAGGGGATTGTGGAGGCCAGGTCATCTGATGCAGCACTCCATCACTCTCCTTCTTGGTAAAATAGCCCTTACACAGCCTGGAGGTGTGTTGGGTCATTGTCCTGTTGAAAAACAAATGATAGTCCCACTAAGCCCAAACCAGATGGGATGGCATATCGCTGCAGAATGCTGTGGTAGCCATGCTGGTTAAGTGTGCCTTGAATTCTAAATAAATCACAGACAGTGTCACCAGCAAAGCACCCCCACAGCATAACACCTCCTCCTCCATGCTTTATGGTTGGAACTACACATGCAGAGTTCATCCGTTCACCGACACAGCGTCTCACAAAGACACAACGGTTTGAACCAAAAATCTCCAATTTGGACTCCAGACCAAAGGACACATTTCCAACGGTCTAATGTCCATTGCTCGTGTTTCTTAGATCAAGCAGGTCTCTTCTTCTTATTGGTGTCCTTTAATAGTGGTTTCTTTGCAGCAATTCGACCATGAAGGCCTGATGCACACAGTCCCCTCTGAACAGTTGATGTTGAGATGTGTCTGTTACTTGAACTCTGTGAAGCATTTATTTGGGCTGCAATTTCTGAGGCTGGTAACTAATGAACTTATCCTCTGCAGCAGAGGTAACTCTGGGTCTTCCATTCCTGTGGCGGTCCTCATGAGAGCCAGTTTCATCATAGCACTTGATGGTTTTTGCGACTGCACTTGAAGAAACTTTCAAAGTTCTTGAAATGTTCCGTATTGACTGACATTCATGTCGTAAAGTAATGATGGACTGTCGTTTCTCTTTGCTTATTTGAGCTGTTCTTGCCATAATATGGACTTGGTCTTTTACCAAATAGGGCTATCTTCTGTATACCCCCCTACCTTGTCACAACAGAACTGATTGGCTCAAACGCATTAAGACGAAAAAAAAATGAATTAACTTTTAAGAAGGCACACCTGTTAATTGAAATGCATTCCAGGTGACTACCTCATGAAGCTGGTTGAGAGAATGCCAAGAGTGTGCAAAGCTGTCATCAAGGCAAAGGGTGGCTATTTGAAGAATCTCAAATATAAAATATATTTTGATTTGTTTAACTATTTCATAGTTTTGATGTCTTCACTATTATTCCACAATGTAGAAAATAGCACAAATAAAGAAAAACCCTTGAATGAGTAGGTGTGTCCAAACTTTTGACTGGTAGTGTATATAGCATTGGATACAACAAAATACCTAGAAAATTCAGGTTGAATTCTACAAGGGAATGGCAGTGACATGGTCTTTACCTCCTCTCCTTTTTGTCGGTGGGCTTGTTGATGTCTCTGAAGATGTTGGACAGTATCCCATCAGTCCAGTCTCGGGTGACAGGGTCCAGAATGCCGTACACCTCGATGACACTCATGGCTTTAGGGTTCAGGGAGTACAGCTTGGTCACCAAGCCTAACCTGTAGGTAGGAAAACAACCACAATTATGAGGGCTACTATCCCTAAAAACACTCTCCGTTGAACGCTTTGAGAAGCCAGGCTGTTGTGATGCCAGCTGTCACAGTGGTCTGAGAGGCACTGACCTGGTCTGGGCCTGGCACAAGGTGCTGATGACCACTGACTTGCCTCCACCTGTGGGGCCCACCACCATAGTGGTGTGTCTGGTCATCATGGTCTCATACATCTGGACCACCTTGTCCACCTGAACACCACAGACACTCAGCATTAGGAAGAGGGACTTATCAACATCTCCACTTTGTCATCTTTCAATGCGTATGGTCATTTTCACAAAGTTGCCTATGCCCTGAGATTTCAAGTTGAGACAGAGATGGGTAGCCAGGGCACCTGGTTGGACAGGATAAGGTATTTGTTCTCCATCAGGGTCTGCTCCACAGCATCATTGAAGCTGGGGTAGCACACACGGGGGCAGTCAAGCCCCGGGAACAGGTCTGAGATCAGCCCTAGGAACAGAGGCACATCCTCAAACACAAACTTAGGCAGGTTCATGTCACGCAGGGCACGCATCAACACCACATCCTGAGAGAGAAAAGGGGAGAGAGAGGGTGAGGAGGTGAGGAAGGAGAACGGGAGAGAGAATGAAAAAAGACAGAGGTAGAGAGAAAGAGAGTGATTGTCAAAGATGTCTTCAAGGGCATAGAAATAAAACCACCCAAAACCTCCAGAAAATCATAAATGCTCTCTTTGTCTCCTTACTGTAAGTGCAACACAGAGGAATCGTATCACAGTGGACTTTCCAGAATTTTACCTCATTGAGGTCTGGTGAGCCTCTCTTCAGTTCTCCTGCCATCACTAACACAGATTTAAGAGCCCGCAGGCCAAAGTCATAGTGGAACTGCTTAGACAGCTGCTCCCTGGCCAGCTTGTACAGCACCGTCATCTTCTTGGCCAGAATCTACATTCAAAAGAAGATGACTAACTGAGTGAGTGTGTGTTTAACAATGTCAGACACAACATTTATCTACAACTTTGTATGTGTATTTGTGTGTGTGTGTGTATGTGAGAGTGAGTGTGTGTTGATGAGAGGATGTGCTGCTCACCTTGGCCAAGAGGAATCCCTCTGAGAAGAGCATGATCTCACAGATCATCTGCAGGTCTGGGACGATGACCACCACAGGTCTGAACAGGGCTTTGACTGACTCAGGCAGCTCTGTGCGTCCAGCGTAGCCAGGGTTCATAGTGATGAAGATGCCCATGCGGTCGTCCATGCTGATCTCCTGGCCCTCAAACTGACACCCACAACACATAGAGGGTACTGAGTTCAAAGCGTCCTGAGTCAATGTCACCAACAGTCTTTAGGGAAAACGTTTTGTGGCTACCTACTCAAATTGCAAGGTTTTAGTATCACCCTCTCCCAATCCAGAACTGTCCAGGCAGTCTCCAAACATCGAAGAGATGACAGTGTGTCATAATAACTTACATGGAACCTCTTGAGGTGCAGGATGAGAGCGTTGCGGATGGTCTGGATCTGGGAGGAGATGACAGACAGCACAGAGGCATCGATGCGGTTGAACTCATCAAAGCAGCCCCAGGCACCACACTGGGCCAGGCCAGACAAGATCTTCCCCACAGCCTGGACACAGAGGAGGGGGAAGACAGAGGAGAGGAGAAGCATGATAAATTAATACACAAGGTAAATAAAGAAACTATTAATGTGGACTACAATAGAGGAAATAAAGCTTTCATTTTGGCGTGAGGAGGGGCATCACCATGTAGTCCATGCCCTCTCCACAGTTGGTGACCACACACAGCAGGCCCAGAGCCTTGGCCAGGTCCTTGGTGGACTCTGTCTTCCCTGTTCCAGCCGGCCCCGCGGGGGCTCCACCCAGGTACATGGACAGGGCCTGAGGCAAGCCCAAACACAGTGGTAGTTACAGTTAGACAAAATCATACACCTCCATCATTAAACAGTGTGTAAATACAGACTGACAAAGCTTTCTGAGGTTCAGGTATTGTACCTGTGTGAGGGTGAGGTAGATGCGGTCAGTCAGCGGGGTGATGACCAGACGACCATTCAGCCCCATGTACTCATAACCGTAGGAGAAAGCAGCGCTGCACTGGCGCACAAACAGATCATCGGGCTCCCGGTCCCAGTAGAACCTCAGCTGGCTCTCCCACTCAAACTCACGGGCGTCCATTATACTGCATGAGAGAGAAATTAGGATAAAATAATCTTCTTTTCATTTGAAGTCATATGTCACTACATGCAGTACAGTAAGTGTAATAACAAAGCACTATGTTGTTCCCTACCTGTCCCGGACAAAGTTGTCCACAATGTCTCTGGCATGGACGTCGATGATGAGGACAGTGTTGATCTTGCTTCGGTCGTTCTTCTTCATGGGCTGAGTAATGCGTGTCACCAGCTCGTCTATCTGCAGGTGCATCTTCTTGGCGTAGTTCTTCAGCGCTTGCTTGTCTCCCTTCTTCACCTTCTGGAAGACATCCTCCACCTCCCAGGTCCACCACACTTGGTTCCCAGCCAGCACCACCATCCCCTGGTACAGCAACATCCAGTCAATCCTGAGGGAAACACACCACAACGTTAGGTTCATCTCCTTTTTGAACAATATCAAGTATCATCTTTCACACACTATGGACTGGTGCTGCTGAATATTTCACAGGCATCTTATACACAGACAAAGTTTTACTTTGAAGACAGAAGTAGGTCAGTTTCTGAAACACACTGACCTGCCCCTGTCTTCACAGTAGCGGAAGATGGCTTCCTTGGTGATGAGTCTGTTGGTCCTCCTCATCTCCAGCAGTACTCCAGTCATCCAGTCCTCCACCCGGCCCTCGGCTGGCACCGGCTGCTTCAGGTCCATCACCTCTCCCTCCGCAGACACCAGGGCCCCCGCCACCGTCTCCCCGTTACTCCCCACGTCAAACCGCAGAGACGCTATGTTGTCATACATCTGGGTGGGAGGAAAAAGGGAGAAAATTGCAACGTTAATTCCACACACTTTAGGAGCCAACTTTTACCAGAAGAAAAGAGCAGGTTTACAGTACCCGTCTAATCCTTGCTTAAAATCTTGAGCAAGAAGAGCCACAAATTTGACTACACCTTGATCACTTGAAGAGAACCATCTCTGGCCTGTAGTGACATGCTACAGTACCTTGATTATGTGCTCCTGGACGCAGACAGGGTCGCTGCTACCCAGGATGCTGAGCAGCTCGTCGTCGGAGATGAAGAAGAAGCGAGGGAAGGCATTGCGTTTGGAGTCCAGGTAGTCGTTGAGACTCTTCTGGCAGCGCTCCAGACCATCACTCAGACTCTGCAGGTCAGCCAGCCGGTTGGGCACCAGACAGCACCTCTTAATTCCTGGGTCCTTCACTGTATCTGTCATGATCTAGAGTAGACCATGCAAGCACACAAAACTAAGTAAGACAATACTGTCTAAAAGCATTATGTGTTGTGTTTAATTATGTTCTAATAGAAGTGGGAGTCAAGTCAATCACCTTTTTGAACATTTTGTCAATGTTGTCAAATTTCTTGGCTTCCTCAGGTAACTGAGAGCGGATATCCCCTCCAATGAAGATGCTCTCTAGGTACATCCACTTGCGCTGCACCAGCATCCAAACCTTAGGAGATGCCATATCATTTCATCACAGATCCTGTATGGGTGGTTACCATTATACTCAACGGTGGTTTCAAATGACAATGAACTTGTGATGAGAGGTGAACGCAACAGTATTTTAACTCTTCCGTGATCTATGACCCAAAGGTCACTGGCTACGTCCCAAAGGGCACCCTATTCCCTACATAGTGCACTATGGACCCTGGTAAAAAGTAGTGCACTATTTAGGGAATAGGGTGCTATTTGGGACGCACACATTGACTGACCTCTATGACTTCGCTGATGAGGGACAGGCTCTTCTCCCACTGTTGTATGGTGGCCAGGAAGGGCCCTACGAAGCGGCTGCCTGCCATGCTCTGGAGGTTCATGGCATTGTCATCCAGGTTCTGCAGGATCTCGTCCACCACCCCCAGGATTGAGCCACGTTCCTGGGTGCCTTTGAAGTAGCGCTGCACACTAAACTTCATATTCTCCCAGGTCTCCACCACCTCCTTCACTCCCTGTATACACACACACACACACAGACACACATTACCACAATGTAAATGACATATAAACTCAATGTTTAGTTATTGATACTGACCATACAATGTTGAACACACCGCAAAGAGAATTGTACAATTTCAGCTTTGTGTGATGAAATAACAGTCCTAAAGGGGTTGCTTGCCTTCTCAATGCTGAGCTCTTTGACAGCTGAGGTGACAATCTCACCGATTACATTGCCATACTTGTTCAGCTCCATGGCAAACATGTTCTCCAGAGTGAAGGTGTCTGGATTCATCTCAAAGCTTGTGTTAGTCCTCTCCATCAGCTCCCTCCAGTGTCTGAGCGGGATCAAGGACAAACAAACGTTCACATACTCTCTGTATAAATAAATACATTAAAACCACATTCATTTAATTTGTTTTTTCAGGAGGTATTTTGTTGGTCATGTAGGCTCTGCCCTACTTTATGTGCTCTCTGACACCTGGAGTTGCATGGCAAATGGTCCAGGAACACAAGGAAAGCACAAAGGACAATGCTCATGGACTAGTTAGCGCTTCCCCCTCTGAGGGGCCAAAATGTATCTCTCTGTTACAGTATCCAGACGACTGGCTATTGAATGAGTGATAGAATAATACTATATTATCCATGTTTGGTATCTATCTGAAACTTGTTCACTGAGGATAACTCTGATGCTATCTATATGGATGTATTATCTATGTTGTTACTTGTATCTGTACAGGGTGAACTCTAAATTACTCTATTATGCAAAGGTTTTGTCTTCTCAGGAATTATGTCTTATTTACATTGGTCTCATCCCCCACACAAGCCTTTAGATGCTGTGACACCCTGTGGAGATTGGGCCTGGGAGTGTTTACGTTACTGTAAACTTGGTATCGTTTGATTGGTCAATGGTGGTTGGTTTTAGGTTGAAAGGTTACACTTTCAGATGTTATAAATGGAATTAAATGCCTTTGTTCTTGCTCTTATGCTGTATCCAGTCCATGGAGGAAGGTTGTATGATCAATTCTCATTTCTTAGGCTTCTAGGCCTCTGGCCTACTAGGCATCTCTTTGTTCATGCTTTGTCTTCTAAGTTAACCTTAGGATCTATATGCCTAGAAGTATGCTTTGTAATGCTTGTTAATGCTTTGTAACTTAAGCTTTATGCCTTGTATGTGAATCCATTCATTTTACAATGTTAATTAAATATCTGCCTTTGATATAGGCAATTCTCAGACCAATTCTTGCTAGTCAACATCAACTCATTGACTAATGCTTGATTGTATATTTTAATTATCTTTATGGAGTCAGATGAACATTTTAATTGGCTAATTGCTTAGTCTATTTACGAGTGGCATGTGATGTATATATAATATACTGTATATACACATATCAAATATTACTGCCCACTACAGTCATGTGATTGTTATAGGGCCTGTGTGTTGATATCAGGTTCTGTCCCCTAAACATCCTACTCTCTAAGTCCACATCCATAGGTGATTAGGTGTACCTGTCTCTGAGGGCCTCGTTCTTCAGGTCCAGAAGGAGAGGTAGGGACTCTTTGAACTCCTTCATGCGTCCCTCCAGGAAGAAGGACACAGGTAGGCCCCGCACATCTTTAGGCAGCTTCCTCAGACTCTTAATGAAGCTCTCAACGCCCTCCTGCAGCAGCTGGATGTTCAGGTTCACCCACAGAGTCTGGGACCACTCCGTCTTAGCTGCCTGAAAGACACACATAAGGCAACACACATAAAGGCAATAAACACAGAACTCTAGAAAACATTGGAGCCATACTTGCAAACATAAGCATGCATTTAAAGTTAAACAGGTTTTCACGCACAAAATGCGTATCAGCCAATTAAAATAGTCGATTTACTAGCATGTGACCGAATGTTAAATTGTAGCTGGTCCCATCAGATAACATGGTACAAGTTAGCCCTATGCTAACCTCAACAGGTGGAAGTGATTACATCCCGGCACAACTTCCGCTTCAGCCTATCAAAGATCTTAGATTTTCTATCCACCAACCAATGGAATTTCTTAAAATAGGTCAACCCTGGCCACTAGAAGGATATGTTAAACCTACAAATTCAAGGTTTACTTGTTCCATTGGTCTGTAACAAAATGTTGTGTGCCAATATTGCACTGATGCATTCTTGACTAAGCTACTAGCTACTAGTAACAATAGACAACATTTTCCCATTTTCGCATATATGACAATTTCACTCACATCCATGTGCTTTTATGGGAAAAAACATAAATGAGGTCCTTACAAGAAAGCTTATTATACATCGTTAAAAAAACGATGAGCCTTATAGATTTATCAAATCGCAGTTCTCATCACTTCTAGGAGGCACATACTACTAAAGTGGTTGACTGGTAATTGATAGTGCTTTTTAACAATGGGTTCGAGCCCACCTCGCATTAAGCTTTTTTGTTGAGGAAAACTCTGTTCAATGTTGGTCCTTGATGCTCGATTCAAAACGCATGTGACAAAGGGGATTATTATAATAGTGCATAAACTATAAAACATTGTAGGCCTGCATGTAAGTGTAGCATACATTAGAATATACTAATGACAGCCAAGTGTCTTACTACAGTAAGACTGTTGATTTAAGATGCAATACCGCCACCTGTAGGATGATAACGAGAGTGCAAACTATTTCTACTGTATTTCCACTTTGGATCATCCTTCTCTAGTGAAATAACACTTTAGACAAAGCAGATGATTATAAAAATGCATATAAAATGTTGGCCTACATTTAGGTGTACACGTCCATGTAAGATAGCCTATGCAATGAGATTTTTAGGCAATAGCGGTGTGTTTGTGTGCAAGGCTGAAATTAAATGAATGTCCTTTTCAACACACTAACCCACGTGTCAAACTCATTCCACGGAGGGCCGAGTGTCTGCGGGTTTTCGCTCCACCCTTGTACTTGATTGATGAATTAAGGTCACTAATTAGTAAGGAACTTAATTGAAAGGATAAACCAAAAACCCGCAGACACTCGGCCCTCCGTGGAATGAGTTTGACACCTCTGCACGCACTAACCCAATAGGCTACATGTAAATCTATATTTCAAAGGGGGGGGGGGGACTAACGTGATTCGAACTCTTGCGAAAATCTGCGACGACTACATGGACTAGGAACTTTACACAGAGAGCAATTTGACCAGTCAGTCAAATACACATGATAGCCTAGTTGCTTTGATGATCAGAATGTGTTGTTGGACTGAGGTATGTTAAGGATGCTTCCATGAACAAGTGTTGGAACACGTCCAACTACTTCTATGATTTTAATTGGCTGCAGGATGTAACCATGCCACCTGGTGAGGTTAGAAAAGGGCTAACGTGTGCCATGTCATCTGATGGGACCAGCTACTATAGAGTACCACAGTATGAGTCATAATACCCATAAAACCTAGAGGTTAAACAGGGAAATGGTTCCAATCGTTTTCCCCACCATTAATTTTTAGAAACACTTAAAATAAGGGCTGTGTTTCGTGTAGGCTTACCCTGGCGTGACGTTTTGATATCCGTGTAAATCTCTCTAGGACAAGGTGACTTTTATCAATACAATCACCTTTGTTTCCACTGTGGGGCTCTATTTAGCTTTCTGTCACATGCAAGTAAATCAACCATTTTGTGCGTGAGAACCTGTTTAACTTTAAATGCTTGCTTATGTTTGCAAGTATGGCCCCATTGTGTTTTCTACTACACAAACACACACACTGTACTCAACCCACAAACTCTTACCTTCTGAGACGTGTAGATCTCATAGATCTGTCGCAGGCCCTTCATCTCCTTCTGTACATTTTGCAGCTCTGTGTACATGGTGATTGGCAGGTCAAAGAGCTTCTCTGCATTGGCCAACTCTTGACGTCCCGCCTCTATCTTGGCTAGTTCTGTCTCATAGGTCCCCATCACTGTCACTCCTACACAGAGAATTGGAAAAGACAGGTCCAGTAGAAAGACATATTAAATCACCCAGAAAGCAGTGATGGGGCTGTTAGGACAGTCTGATGGGAAGGGGGTTCAACACTTACCTTTCTCCAGGTTGTCTCCAACAGCTCCAGGTCCATGCATGTTGAAGCTCTCTGCAAAGATGGTCAGCTCCTGCTTATACTTCTCAATCTGCTCCTTAGTAATCTGTGAGACAGGGGAGAGAGGGGATGTAGGTTTTGGGATGAGGATCATAATGATAGATATAGGTGAGACTGTGATGGTGAAGTTAGTGTTGGTCAAGGTGTCGTGGCGTCTGTCTCACCTCAGTGAAGGTCTTCTTGACCCGTCCCAGGCTGCGGTCCACCAGTCTGGATTCTTCAAACAGCTCACTCCACAGCCGACCGATACTAGCCGACAACTCCAGCTCCTCCTCCGTGGCCTGCAACACACACAGGGATCCACACTCAACCAGGGGACAGCAACACAATACACTCAAAAGGGAAAACTATACAGACAAATAGCAAAGAGACAATATACAGACACTCGAGTAATGTATGTTCCTCACCTCTACTTTGTACATGCCCAGGGTCCTGTATCTCTCCTGGATGTCAGTGAACCTCATCTCCACAGCCAGAGACATGTCCCTGATGTCTGAGATGGTGCCCAGGACAAACTTCAAGTCCTCCAGGGTGTTTGGGCTCCTCTTCAGGTTCTCAGACTGTTGCTATTCAACAATACAATCATACACAAACATGAGGGGTTGCTTAGTAAGAAATAGAGTTGAGGAGTATAGCAGCAATTCATAGTATGTATTTATTTTTTATTTAACCTTTATTTTATCAGGGAGTCATACTGAGACCAAGGTCTCTTTTACAGATGAGCCCTGAATTACAGAAATTACAGAAAATACACACATCAAAATATAAATACAGTGCTGTGAAAAAGTATTTGCCCCCTTTCAGATTTTCTCTATTTTTGCATATTTTTTATACTGAATGTTATCAGATCTTCAACCCATGTCGTCCAAAAAGATATACTTTGACTCATCTGTCCATAGAACATTCTTCCAATAGTCTTGATGATCATCCAGGTGCTTCCAGGTGCTTTTTGGCAAACTTCAGTCACCTTTTTGGACGAGATGGGTCCCATTATGTCTGGCGAAAACCAAACACTCCATTCCACAGTAAGAACCTCATTCCGGTCAAGCATGGTTTTGCCTTAATAGAAGGAACCATCAATTCTGCTCCGTATCAGATAATTCTACAGGAGAATGTCAGGCCATCCGTCTGTGAGCTGAAGCTGAAGCGCAGCTGGGTCATGCAGCAAGACAATGATCCAAAACACACAATCAAGTCTACATGAAAACTGTTAAAAGGCAAAACATTTGAAGTTTTGGAATGGCCTAGTCAAAGTCCAGACCTAATTCCAATTGAGATGTTGTGGCAGGACTTGAAACAAGCAGTTATTGTATGAAAACCAACAAATGTCGCTGAGTTAAAGCAGTTCTGCAGGGAAGAGTGGGACAAATTTCCTCCACAGCAATGTGAGAGACTGATCAACAACTACAGGAAGCATTTGGTTGCAGTCATTGCAGCTAAAGGTGGCAAAACCAGTTTTTGAGTGTAAGAGGGCAATTACTTTTTCACACAGGGGAATTGGGTGTTGCATAACTTTGTTAATTAAATAAATAAAATAAGTATAATTTGGGGGGTGGGTATTCGTAAACTCAGGCTCCCTTTATCTAATATTAGGTTTTGGTTGAAGATCTGACAACATTCAATATAGAAAATACGCAAAATAGAGATAACCAGAAAGGGGGCCAAATACTTTTCACGGCACTGTACAAAATGCAAGCAGAGAGAAAATCACAGTCATAAAAAACAAACACATTCATCAGTAATAAGGTCCTCAATCAGCTTTCTGAATTGCCCTAGAGGCACCAAAACATCCAATCTAAGAAGGTTTTTTCAGAGTTAGCCATCCCTGAGACCGGGTGTGGTAACTCATAAGTCTAAAGTTTAGTAATGATGTTAGGTACAGTGGGAGTTTATGTAAAAGGACTTTATAAATGAAAACATAGCAATGTATCAACCTACGTGACATCAAAGAGGGCCAACCAACTTTCTGGTAGTGATGAGCAATAAAACTGTCTGCCGTAATAAAGCGCAGTAAGCTATGATAAACTGCATCTAACGGCTTTAATGAAGTGGCAGCTGCGCTCATATACTGTAGATGATGTCGCCATAGTCTAGGACCGATAGGAACGTTGACTGAATAATAAGTATGCCGTACCAGTAGCTCATCCCGCAGGTTGAACAGGTCCTCTCGGGCTGACTCGTTGAGCAATCTGCCCAGAGAGTTGACCCAGGCTTGGGCGTTCTCCTGCACGGTGCGGGCCAGAGGCTCCAGGTTCAGCCTTATAATGTGCTCATCCTTCACCAGCGGCTGCAGCGCCACCTCCACGCTGACCCGGGCATAGAACTGCAGCTTCTCGTCATACATGACATAGGAGGGCCTCTTTGCGGCAAACTTCTCCATGACGATGGCCTTGTCCAGCTTCCAGAGGGGCCGGTAGCGCTTCCAGCGGTTGAGGTAGCGTCCCACGGCGCTGAGTAGGCGCTGGATATTCTGGGAGACGGCCATGGCCCTTTCATTGACCTGGGGGTGCTGACACACCTCGCTGTAGAAACTGAACACCACCGACTCATCCTCTCCATCAACACGCTGAGGAGGACACTCTATACAGGTGCCATGCATCCAACGCACAAACCGCTAGTGGGAGAAGAGAGTCACACCAGTCATACACTACACAGGGATGTTGTTATATGTTGGTAAACAGGTATGGGGGAAGGGAAGGGTGTTGTGTCCTACTTTGGTGCTCTCTACACAGTCTCTGACACACTGCATGAGGAGCTTGTACACCTCGTTGTTTTTGGGGTGCAGCACAATCTCAGGGGCAGACAAGATGGTTTCAATTTGGAAAAGTGGGGTGTTGCCCATCATGGCCATGTTAAAAGTCTGGATGTTCCTACGAGAGAGAGATAACAGAGATAATGCACTGTTATGTTCACACCTTTCATCTCAAATCATGAAACATTATCAATTTTTCCATAGCTTACAATACCACAATGTGTATTTGCCTGTAGTTAAAGCCACCTGGAAAGAGGTATGCTAAATGTCCCACCTGAGCACCATCTTGGTGAGGGAGTCGAAGACCTTGCATTCCCAGTAGGTGTAGTACTGGCCCATGCGCTTGGCTTTGCCACTGTTGGTCTGCATGATCAGACTCTCCATCTTGGTGAGCAGGGGGCCAATGGCTGTGAACTTCCTACTCAACAGATTCAGATCCTTCGCCCTCTCTCGCTCGATCAGCTCACAGAACTCTTTCACTCCTAAAACCACAGTTACAGTGAGGAAGGCTAAACTACTGAAAATGCCAATTTATCAGACTCTTGTTCCCACTTGATGTGATATTTTAGCTTACCCAATGTCATTCTAAATAGTATTGACATTCTGTTTACCTGGTAGGTCATCTGATTTGTCTGGGGCTGGAAATTTGAATAAGTTGGCTGTCTCAATGGACTGCAGCTTGGCATCAATGTCCCTCTCATTCTTCTGAATTTGATTGACAAGCGACTCAAACTTAGACGCAGCCTGGGTGCCTCGGTTGATGAACTCAGAGATGCCTTAAACCAGAAAGGACAGGTACCTCTGAGTATTGTGACATGTACTCACATTGGGGAACGAAAAACAATGAAAACATCAAATGCACTTTTATTTCATCATGTCAGAGCAGAGCGTATGTACCCAGGGCGTTCCAGTTGAGCCTCTTGTATCCTGAGCGCATCACCCTCCTCAGCTCCTGGATCTGCTCGGCCAGTAGGAAGAACTCTGCATCGTTCAGACAGTCCATCAGAGAGTGGTAGCGGTTCACCAGGTTCTTCAACCCATCCACATATCTAGTAACATAGTGTTAAAGCAGGTTAGGACAACTGTGATGAGTACACAAACTGGTTTAGCCGTTTCCATCTGTTGTCACTTAGTGTTGGTTGTGTGGAAATATCACCTGAGGAATTTGTCCTCTTGCAGAGCCACATTACGGGCCAGCTCAGGCACAGAGTAGCCCAATTGCTCCAAGTACTTGGTCTCTGAAATGATCTCCTTCAGCTCCGGGGCAAAGTTCATCATGTAACGCACCCCCCTCTCCATGTCCCGCTCAGTTGCTGGGCCAGTCTGAGAAAGAAAGAAAGAAAGAAAGAAAGTATGCAGAGATGCAAGGACATATGACCCAAGAGACAACGTTAAGGGACTTCACAAGATCTTTACAGGATAGACTTGTTCATAAAAGCCTTGTTGGTGAGGAAAGGTGTATTTCAGCCTAGGCCCAGCCGCCCAATGGTGTGTTACTAAGTACCATGTCTAGAGGGGCCTGTTCTCCGGTGACGACCCCTGAGCTGTTGACCATGACCAGCAGGGTCCTCTTCATCAGCAGGGGCAGGCTCTGTTCCGTCTCCTCACGCCAGCGCTCATACTTCTTCTGCTCATATTCCTTCATACGGATCCCCACTTCCAGGTACTTGGCCTTGGCCTAAGGAGGAGAGGAAGATGGTGCTGTAAAAAAGCTGTTTCAGACAAAGGTTTTATCCCAAATGGCACCCTATTCCCTATGTAGTGCACTACTTTTGACCAGGGAATAGGATTCCATTTGGGAGACATCCAAAAAGACCCTCATTAAGACATACATGTGATGTACAACATGGAGCAATTACTTGGATTAGTTAGTTAGTTGCTCAGTTATCTCACCGCTTTGCCAGGCTCACTCTCCAGCATATCTGTGACCTCCAGGAAGCGGATGATGGTGTGTTTGATGTGGTGGAAGAGAGAGCGCTCCCAGTAGATGGCTCCAGCCACTGGGGGTTGGTTCTTATTCAGAGGAGGGTTGTCCTTGCACTTCACAAATATCCCGTTGATTATGTCCACCTATCTCACAACACACAACAGAGCCAAGAAGTGACCCAGCTTTCCTAAAGCTCACACCATTACCATGACTCCATCCAGATGCCACATTGTGTATACAAATTATATTATTTGAGTGCGAGTACCTTTTGAACTCTACAAATTCTATGAAAAATATAAGATTATATATTATAAGGCTGGAACTTATTTCAAGACAAATCCAATCAACACATTTGTGTTATTTTCTGTTCTTTTGATGTACCTCTTTGCAGTACTGGGCCAGGATGTCGTTGAACTTCATCATCATCTGGTTGTTGATGGCCTCTCTGGAGCGGATGTGTTTGAACTTCAGCAGCATGTCGAAGGCTGCCGACGCAGAGCGCAGCGTCTTGAAGGACTGGTCAATGAAGTTGATGGCCTCTCCTTCGACAGCCTGGGTAGACAGGCAAGGTGAGAGGAGTGAATCATGGCTTGGTGATGAATGAATCAATGAATGTGGATTCCAAAATTGCTACCAAGATGTCCTGCTGCTCCCACCTGAACCTTGGCCTTGAAGTCCTGCATGACCATCTTCCAGCTGCCCATCTTGCGGATGTTGAAGGGGTCGAAGCTGAGCTCCTCGATGGGCACCACCAGGCTGTCTACCCAGCGCAGCACATCGTCAATACGCTTAGGATCCCCCGTCACTGCCTTCAGCTCTGGACCAAAGATGTTATAGAACTCCTCCAATATCTGCAAAAGTATGTTCCTATTGTGTTTAGCCAGAAGTGAATGCCTTACAATTGGTTTTCATAAAGCAAAATTGTTGAGCATTCATAGAACGCATGGAAAAACAGGGTGTGGGTTAGTCATTGAATCAATAAAGGATATGGATGTGGTCGGTCTGTTTAAGGTTAGATTGAGAGGATGTTGAGGTGTTTGTCAATCAGGCAGGTTGAACTGACCTGCAGGATATTGTACAAGTCCTGGCAGATGGAGGCCATATAGTCGGTCTTCTCAAACAGCTTTTTACGGTCAAACTCCCAGCGTGGGTCTCTACCTGATGTCTCAATCCTGGCCCGCACCTCAAAGTAACAAGCTTTCCACTGGTCCAGCACCTGCTTTCCATCCTGAGCTTTGGCCTTCGCTACCTCCCTCTTGTCTCTGTCCATTACAAAGAATATAAAATTCAAGCCAAGACAGCGACATACAGTACATGTCATTGTAAAGAAAGGATGAGAAAACATGACTTTGGTATAAAACCGTTTTAGGGTTATGGATTACAGTTAGGATTCCAAAACTAAGGGTGGAGTTACAGTTGAAGTCATGAGAAGAGGTAAGAGGGCAGGGTCAACTCACTTGAAGAGCATGCGGACATTGATGACGCGAGCCACACGCTCAGACAGCTCCCATGCAATACGCTCCATAAGGGGCACCATGCGTTCGTCCTTGTTGTAGTGGCTGGAGATGATCCACACCATGCGCAGGCCGTTCATCATCAGAGGGATGGTGTCCAGGATCACACCAAAGTCTGCCCCCGTGGCCAGGTTCTGGAACACACAAGACACATGCTAAGTCAAGGCATGGAGAAGAGCCTACAATTTAGCCTCCGGGATATAAGGATGACATATCAAAATAGCTTATTCCATCTGTCAGCAGCAGAATAGTCAGACCTACATCTTTCAATAATACATAGCATGTTTCTGCCATAATGTGAGGTTTGGGGAGAACAGGGTCTCTTCCTCAGGACTATGAGCCCACCTTGAAGTGTCTCTCCAGTGTACTGAGGAAGCGCACATTCTCCACAGACTCCACGTGGAGCTTGCTGAGCTCGGTCACGGTCAGGTCCAGGTTCTGGACAGTGACCGGGTCGGCTTTGGTCATCACCTCCAGGATCTTTTTCACCACAGGCAGTTTGAGCTGCTCACTCAGAGCACTCAGGATGGCTGTTCGCTCCCGCCAGAAATCTATCTCTGCCATGGGGCCTGGCACCTGGGAATGGGAATAAGTGTAAAACAAACAGAAATAGTAGTAACCAGCCATTTTTACTTAAAAAACAACAACAATGTTACTAATTTATTTTCATTTTGAATCATAAAAGGTCTGCATACATAAAAGGTATGGGCCCAATAGGCTATTCCCTCTCTCTCACCTGTGGTTTCTTCTTCTGCTGCTCCTCGATGACGATGGTGATCTGAGTCTGCCAGTTCATCACACACTGTTCCAGCTTTTCCACCACCTCTTGAGTGGCCAGCAGCGCATCCACCTCTGGCTCCAGGTCCAGTTCAGGGATGTGCAGCTTAATCTCACCTGAAATGGAGAGGCCACGGAATTATCATTCACCACATAAACCTTCAGATACAGTGTAAAACACCAGAGAAAACGGTGCACTTGTTACATGATGCATGCATTCACACACATCATGCTTAGAGAGAGCATGGTAGCTGCTGAACTAATTCCTGACCCTGTTGATGGTTGGGTCCTGTCTTGGAGGAGGAACTATTTCATGGTATGATATACAGTTGAAGTAGGAAGTTTACTTACACTTATGTTGGAGTCATTAAAACCCGTTTTTCAACCACTCCACAAATTTCTTGTTAACAAACTATAGTTTTGGCAAGTCGGTTAGGACATCTACTTTGTGCATGACACAAGTAATTTTTCCAACAATTGTTTACAGACAGATTATTTCACTTATAATTCACTGTATCACAATTCCAGTGGGTCAGAAGTTTACATACACTAAGTTGACTGTGCCTTTAAACAGCTTGGAAAGTTCCAGAAAATGATGTCATGGCTTCAGAAGCTTCTGATAGGCTAATGGACATTATTTGAGTCAATTGGAGGTGTACCTGTGGATGTATTTCAAGGCCTACCTTCAAACTCAGTGCCTCGCTGCTTGACATCATGGGAAAATGAAAAGAAATCAGCCAAGACCTCACAAAAAAATGGTAGACCTCCACAAGTCTGGTTCATCCTTGGGAGCAATTTCCAAACACCTGAAGGTACCACGTTCATCTGTACAAACAATAGTACGCAAGTATTAACAACATGGGACCACGCAGCCGTCATACCGTTCAGGAAGGAGACGCGTTCTGTCTCCTAGAGATGAACGTACTTTGGTGCGAAAAGTGCAAATCAATCCCAGAACAACAGCACAGGGCCTTGTGAAGATGCTGGAGGAAACAGGTACAAAATTATCTATATCCACAGTAAAACGAGTCCTATATCGACATAACCTGAAAGGCCGCTCAGCAAGGAAGAAGCCACTGCTCCAAAACCGCACATGGGGACAAAGATCGTACTTTTTGGAGAAATGTCCTCTGGTCTGATGAAACAAAAATAGAACTGTTTGGCCATAATGACCATCGTTATGTTTGGAGGAAAAAGGGGGTGGCTTGCAAGCCTAAGAACACCATCCCAACCGTGAAGAACGGGGGTGGCAGCATGATGCTGTGGGGGTGCTTTGCTGCACGAGGGTCTGGTGCACTTCACAAAATAGATGGCATCATGAGGAAGGACAATTATGTGGATATATTGAAGCAACATCTCAAGACATCAGTCAGGAAGTTAAAGCTTGGTCGCAAATGGGTCTTCCAAATGGACAACGACCCCAAGCATACTTCCAAAGTTGTGGCAAAATGGCTTAAGGACAACATAGTCAAGGTATTGGAGTGGCCATCACAAAGCCCTGACCTCAATCCTATAGAAAATGTGTGGGCAGAACTGAAAAAGCATGTGCGAGCAAGGAGGCCTAAAACCTTACTCAGTTACACCAGCTCTGTCAGGAGGAATGGGCCAAAATTCACCCAACTTATTGTGGGAAGCTTGTGGAAGGCTACCCGAAACTTTTAACCCAAGTTAAACAATTTAAAGGCAATGCTACCAAATACTAATTGAGTGTATGCAAACTTCTGACCCACTGGGAATGTGATGAAATAAATAAAAGCTTAAATAAATCATTCTCTCTACTATTATTCTGACATTTCACATTCTTAAAATAAAATGGTGATCCTAACTGACCTAAGACAGGGAATTTTTACTAGGATTAAATGTCAGGAATTGTTAAAAACTGAGTTTAAATGTATTTGGCTAAGGTGTATGTAAACTTCCGACTTCAACTGTACAAACACAGACACACACACACCTTCCAGCTGCTGGAGAGTCCTGTCGATGTGACCCAGGAACTTGTGAGTGCTGTTAAGTAACTCATCACGAATCATAAGTACTCCACGGGACTCCACAGGCCTCTCATCCTTGTCCCCATTTCCATCACCAGTTGCCTCCTTATCCTTGGAGGCAGCTGCCCCCTGCTGGTAGCCTCCATCAGTCAGCTTCAGCTGGTTGACAGACAGCATTGGGATGTACACCTGGAATCACCAAGAGACAGTAGGATAATGATGGCTTGAGACTTAAAGGGCTCATCTGAAACAACTAAGAACAGAAAGCAGTGAGCTCTAATGGGCCACTTGCAAAGAAGAGTGCATATTATACATGAGTCATAAACCTGAATATCCTATCTAACGTTCATCAGGTTTGAAGATTTAGTCTCAAGTAGAGTATGAATCCCTTGTATATTACACACATAGTTGAGCATGTCCTTCAGCATCAGTAGGGAGTGTCCATTCAGCATGCCAATCTCCAACAGTTTGGGCATCAGATTGTTGGCCTCGTTCATGTCAATGGGCTCAATGATGGTTTCTAAAAACAGAAAAAATATATATATAAATGAAACATTAAAAAGGGATGTCTTGAATGCTTTCTCTACGACAAATTAGGGACACACAATTTGCCATGTAATAACACCATGCAAACAAAAATCTGTCAAATTAATTATAATTTTTTGAGTAGACCTGTCTTCTTTGGTTCCCTTTTCTCACCCACCTTTAGTGTTCCTGAGAAAGTAGAGAATGTTGGATTTCATGAACCTCTCTGGGACATGATTTACTGCTACGTGAAGCTCCATGTGGTACACGACTCGAACCTCAAACCTCTGTGACAAGAACACAAAATCATACAGATAAGAAGATAGATGTGCTTCCATCTCACTCAACTAATATGACCTTCACCTTAATTTCATGTCCAATACACAGATAATATTATTTGACCAGATTCCAGATTCTTGTTATAGCCTGGCCCACAATAGACTACTATTAAGTGATATTTATTTTATAACACCTTGAATCATGTTTGAAAGGGAAGCTGTAGTCCCACACAGAGGGTAAATCTTACAGTGAGGGGAGGATCATCTTCTGAGTCAGAGGTGCCCTCAGTTTCGTGGGCCTGGGAGTCATCTGCAGGGTGGGTAGACTCTGTCTTTGGGGCCTCTGAGTCCCTCCCCTTGTTCTTTTCTGTGGCCATACGGAAACAAGTGTCAACACATACAATGACAGTAAACGCTTGTATCAAATAATAGGAGGACATAGGATAGGTCTACTGTATGTATTACGTGTACCACTACACCACAACCAGTCACATTGTATCTAAGCAGATACTACACTAGTAGTACTGACTATCTCCAGGGGACTTGTCTCTCTCAGAAGCAGGTGTGTCACAGGAGGGTTTGGATGACTCTGCCAGGCTGCCTTCATCCTCATTCTCAGCCAGTTCCAAGGGACCTTCATTCAGAAAACAGAGGTAGAAAGTATTTTAATGTTACACATAATAGTAATTACTAGCTGAAAAACTGAAAACATTGTTTGCTGTCAAAGTCACTCTTGGTCATGTAGCTAGGTTTAGATCAGCAACCTCTGCTGATGGTTAGCAAATCTAGCTAACATAGCTAGCTAGGCTACCTGGGTCTGCTTTGCTAGCAGAAGTGTCACAGGCCTTTTCTCATTTGGGCAAAAGTCTGTCTTCTACCCTCTCTCCTCCGTCCTCTCTCCTCCGTGACCCGGAAACCGATAAGTGGCCGAGGAGATGACAATTAGTTAGTAGGCGAACGGAAGAGTGTATGCTACCCGAGTCCTTCCCTGAAGAGTTTTGAAATCTGCCACACCATATTTGCCATATATTTATCCAAAGCCTAAAGGAGTGTGTGCATCCACAGTTTGCTGCCTGTTCTTAGTAAATTGATGGAGAGAATTGTGTTTGAACAAATACAATGCAATTTTTTAAGACACAAGTTAACTACTGACTTTCAGCATGCATATAGGGAAGGGCACTCAACTTGTACTGCACTGACTCAGATGACTGATGATTGGCTAAAATAAATGGATAATAATAAGGTAGTTGGAGCTGTATTGTTAGATTTCAGTGCAGCCTCTGATGTTATTGATCATAATTTCTTATTGAAAAAATGCACTTGTTATGGCTTTACATCACCTGCCATCACATGGTTGGAGAGTTACTTATCCAATAGAACTCAGAGAGTATTCTTCAATGGAAGCTTCTTTAACATCAGATATGTACAGTGCGGTATCCCTCAGGTCAGTTGCCTTGGGCCGTTACGCTTCACTATTTTTTACAAATGAGTTGTCTTACAAGAAGCTAAAATGACAATGTATGCTGATGATTGCACACTACACATCAGCACCTACAGCCGGTGAGCGCACTGAGACTCTTAGCAAGGAGTTACAGTCAGTGTCAGAATGGGTAATTAATAATAAACTGGACTTAAATACATCTAAAACCAAAAGCATTGTATGCACAACTGGAGTTGTGTATAAAGGGTGTAACCATTGAACAAGTTTGAAGAAGCTGAACTCCTAGGAGTAACATTGGATGGTCAGTTATCATGGTCAAGTCATATTGACAAAGTTGTTGTGAAGATGGAGAGAGGTATGTCTGTTATAAAAAGCTGTTTACTGAGTAAAGGGTCTGAATACTTACACTACCAGTCAGAAGTTTGGACACACCTACTCATTCAAGGGTTGTTCTTTATTTTTACATTGTAGAATAATAGTGAAGACATCAAAACTATGAAATAACACATATGGAATCATGTAGTAACTAAAAAAGTGTTAAACAAATCAAAATATATTTTATATTTGAGATTCTTCAAATAGCCACCCTTTGCCTTGATGAAAGCTTTGCACACTCTTGGCATTCTCTCAGCCAGCTTCATGAGGTAGTCACCTGGAATGCATTTCAATTAACAGGTGTGCCTTCTTAAAAGTTAATTTGTGGAATTTCTTTCCTTCTTAATGCGTTTGAGCCAATCAGTTGTGTTGTGACAAGGTAGGGGGGGTATACAGAAGATAGTCCTATTTGGTAAAAGACCTAGTCCATATTATGGCAAGAACAGCTCAAATAAGCAAAGAGAAACGACAGTCTATCATTACTTTAAGATATGAATGTCAGGATCGTCGGGAACAGAGGACCAAGGCGCAGCGTTGCAGGCAAACATACTCTTTAATTAGAGACACGATCAAAACAACAAACGATACGTGACAGTTCACGGTCTAACATAAACAGACTAGAAACAAGATCCCACAAACACAAATGGGAAACAGACAGTTTAAATATGGCTCCCAATCAGAGACAACCAACGACAGCTGACACTCGTTGCCTCTGATTGGGAGCCACTCAGGCCAACATAGAAATACACATACTAGATAAACAAATGAAATGCACACCCTGGCTCAACATACAAGTGTCCCCAGAGCCAGGGCGTGACAGTACCCCCCCCTAAAGGCGCGGACTCCGACCGCGCCCACCAAACACCACAGGGGAGGGACCGGGTGGGCACTCCGCTTAGGCGGCGGATCCGGCTCCGGGCCTGATCCCCGCTCCAACCCCCCAAAGTACCCCTGGTCCGGTCTGGCCCCGCTGGCCGGAGCTGGACTGCACACTGGTGGAGCGGATTGCTCTAGCTCCGGCGTGAAGCATCTGACCGGTGCCGGACCAGCCACCGGTGGAACAGGCACGGGCCGTGCCGGACTGACGACGCACACCACTGGCTTGGTGTGGGGAGCAGGAGCGGGCCGCGCCGGGCTGACGAAACGCACCACTGACTTGGTGCGGGGAGCAGGAGCGGGCCGGACTGGGCTGACGAAGCGCACCACTGACTTGGTGCGGGGAGCAGGAACGGGCCGAGCTGGGCTGACGAAACGCACCACTGACTTGGTGCGGGGAGCAGGAATGGGCCGGACCGGGCTGACGACGCGCACCACTGACTTGGTGCGGGGAGCAGGAACGGGCCGCGCCGGGCTGACGAAACGCACCACTGACTTGGTGCGGGGAGCAGGAGCGGGCCGGACCGGGCTGACGAAGCGCACCACTGACTTGGTGCAGGGAGCAGGAACGGGCCGTGCCGGGCTGACGAAGCGCACCACTGACTTGGTGCGAGTGGCAGGAACAGGCCGGACCGTACTGGGAACACACACCACTGGCCCTACGTGGGGATCAGGAACAGGCCGGACCGGACTGGCAACACACGCCAGTACCTCTCGCCGTGCCTCTACATCCTCCCTCCCCCTGGTGACCAGTGACTCCCGTAACCTGGCGGCCTCCTGCTGCCCCGTCATCCACGGCGTTAGCCCCCCCCTAAAAAATTGATGGGCTTCACTCCTACCCGTGGCCAAGGCCTCCATCCCTCTTGCCAGACTCGCACTCATCTCCTCCCAAGTCCATCCTCTCTCCTCGTCACGCTGCTTGATCCAGTCGAGGTGGGATCTTCTGTCAGGATCGTCGGGAACAGAGGACCAAGGCGCAGCGTTGCAGGCAAACATACTCTTTAATTAGAGACACGATCAAAACAACAAACGATACGTGACAGTTCACGGTCTAACATAAACAGACTAGAAACAAGATCCCACAAACACAAATGGGAAACAGACAGTTTAAATATGGCTCCCAATCAGAGACAACCAACGACAGCTGACACTCGTTGCCTCTGATTGGGAGCCACTCAGGCCAACATAGAAATACACATACTAGATAAACAAATGAAATGCACACCCTGGCTCAACATACAAGTGTCCCCAGAGCCAGGGCGTGACAATGAAGGTCAGTCAATACGGAACATTTCAAGAACTTTTAAAGTTTCTTCAAGTGCAGTCGCAAAAACCATCAAGCGCTATGATGAAACTGGCTCTCATGAGGACCGCCACAGGAACGGAAGACCCAGAGTTACCGCTGCTGCAGAGGATAAGTTCATTAGAGTTACCAGCCTCAGAAATTGCAGCCCAAATAAATGCTTACATTTACGTTTACATTTACGTCATTTAGCAGACGCTCTTATCCAGAGCGACTTACAAATTGGTGCATTCACCTTATAGCCAGTGGGATATCCACTTTACAATTTGTATTTTTTTTTTTTTTTTTTTTTGGGGGGGGTGGGGTAAGGGGGGTAGAAGGATTACTTTATCCTATCCCAGGTATTCCTTAAAGAGGTGGGGTTTCAAGTGTCTCCGGAAGGTGGTGAGTGACTCCGCTGTCCTGGCGTCGTGAGGGAGCTTGTTCCACCATTGGAGTGCCAGAGCAGCGAACAGTTTTGACTGGGCTGAGCGGGAACTGTGCTTCCGCAGAGGTAGGGGGGCCAGCAGGCCAGAGGTGGATGAACGCAATGCCCTTGTTTGGGTGTAGGGACTGATCAGAGCCTGAAGGTACGGAGGTGCCGTTCCCCTCACAGCTCCGTAGGCAAGCACCATGGTCTTGTAACAGATGCGAGCTTCAACTGGAAGCCAGTGGAGTGTGCGGAGGAGCGGGGTGACGTGAGAGAATTTGGGAAGGTTGAACACCAGACGGGCTGCGGCATTCTGAATGAGTTGTAGGGGTTTAATGGCACAGGCAGGGAGCCCAGCCAACAGCGAGTTGCAGTAATCCAGACGGGAGATGACAAGTGCCTGGATTATGACCTGTGCCGCTTCCTGTGTAAGGCAGGGTCGTACTCTCCGAATGTTGTAGAGCATGAACCTACAGGATCGGGTCACCGCCTTGATGTTAGCGGAGAACGACAGGGTGTTGTCCAGGGTCACGCCAAGGCTCTTCGCACTCTAATGGGATGCTTCACAGAGTTCAAGTCACAGACACATCTCAACTGCTCAGAGGGGACTGTGTGAATCAGGCCTTCATGGTCGAATTGCTGCAAAGAAACCACTACTAAAGGACACCAATTAGAAGACGAGACCTGCTTGGGCCAAGAAACACGAGCAATGGACATTAGACCGGTGGAAATGTGTCCTTTGGTCTAGAGTCCAAATTGGAGATTTTTGGTTCCAACCGCTGTGTCTTTGTGAGACACGTGTGGGTGAACAGATGATCTCTGCATGTGTAGTTCCCACCGTAAAGCATGGAGGAGGAGGTGTTATGGTGTGGGGGTGCTTTGCTGGTGACACTGTCTGTGATTTATTTAGAATTCAAGGCACACTTAACCAGCATGGCTACCACAGCATTCTGCAGCGATATGCCATCCCATCTGGTTTGGGCTTAGTGGGACTATCATTTGTTTTCAACAGGACAATGACCCAACACACCTCCAGGCTGTGTAAGGGCTATTTTACCAAGAAGGAGAGTGATGGAGTGCTGCATCAGATGACCTGGCCTCCACAATCCTCCGACCTCAACCCAATTGAGATGGTTTGGGATGAGTTGGACGGCAGAGTGAAGGAAAAGCAGCCAACAAGTGCTCAGCATATGTGGGAACTCCTTCAAGACTGTTGGAAAAGCATTCCAGGTGAAGCTGGTTGAGAGAATGGCAAGAGTGTGCAAAGCTGTCATCAAGGCAAAGGGTAGCTATTTGAAGAATCTCAAATATAAAATATATTATGATTTGTTTAACACTTTTTTGGTTACTACATGATTCCATACGTGTTTTTTCATAGTTTTGATGTCTTCACTATTATTCTACAATGTAGAAAATAGTAAAAATAAAGAAAAACCCTTGAATGAGTAGGTGTGTCCAAACTTTTGACTGGTACTGTATGTAAGTGTAATATTTCAAAAAAAAATTTTTATTATACATTTGCTAAAATGTCTAAAACCTGTTTTTACTTTGTCATTATGGGGTATTGTGAGGGAAACAAATTATTTAATCAATTTTAGAATAAGGCTGTAACATAACAAAATGTGGAAAAAGTCAAGGGGTCTGAATACTTTCCGAATGCACTGTATATATGAATAGTGTGTCAATAGTATTTTTTTTGTCTCTTGGTGTCTTTCCTATATACACTGAGTGTACAAAACATTAAGGACACCAGCTCTTTCCATGACATAGACTGACCAGGTGAATCCAAGTGAAAGCTATAATCCCTTGATGTCACTTGTTAAATCCACTTCAATCAGTGTAGATTAAGGGGAGGAGACAGGTTAAATAATTATTTTTAAGCCTTGAGACAACTGAGACATGGATTGTGTATGTGTGCCATTCAGAGGGTGAATGGGCAAGACAAAATATTTAAGTGCCTGTGAACATGGTATGGTAGTGGGTGCCAGACGTACCTGTTTGTGTCAAGAACTGCAACGCTGCTGAGTTTTTCACGCTCAACAGTTTCCTGTGTTTATTAAGAATCGTCCCCTACCCAAAGGACATCCGGCCTACTTGACACAACTGTTGGAGTCAACATCGACCAGCATTCCTGTGGAACGCTTTCGATACCTTGTAGAGTCCATGCCTCGACGAATTGAGGCTGTTCTGAAGGCAAAAGGGTGGCTATGTAACTCAATATTAGGAAGGTGTCCTTAATGTTTTGTACACTCAGTGTATAACTTTTATTTAATTTTTTATTTTGAATTTAATGTAATATTTTATGTTGTTCTTGTCTATTACTGTTCTGTAGTTTGTCATGTATTTGCACGTTTTATGTGGACCCCAGGAAGATTATCTGCTGCATGTGCAGTAGCTAATGGATATCCTAATAAACTAAACTAAATTAACACCACCTTTGAAAGCAGAAAACACGTTTAAAATAAATATGCTAGTTATCGTTTTATCAATAATAAGTCTTGCACAACTAACTTAATTTGTTTAAATCACTTTACACATTTATTTTGGGATTACCAGTTGTCTACTGTAGGGGATCTTGGTCCATTTGACTATGGATTAATATATAGAGCACTGCTAGCAAGCAATCTTATCCATCAGGGGCTGTATGTCTCAGAGTAGGTGCGCTGATGTAGGATCAGGTTCCCCTTGACCATGTAATCTTACCAGTATTCATTATTATCTCAAAGGCTAAACTGATTCTAGATCAGCACTCCAACTCTGAGACGCTTTGTGAATACAGCCCCAGAACTAGCCTACTCATAATGGTGTAGAGGTTGAGGCCATCTTTTGTTTACATGCACGAATGTACGCATACATCAGTTGCATAAAAGTTTCATACAGTACCCTATAAAGTGTCATACAAAAGTATTTGCTGGGTGAGCACTGCACACACACTGTAAAAAAAAAAAGTTACTGTTTCAATTGTATTATTATTAAGTAATTGGTTCCACAGCCTTTTTTTTGTTTACTCAACTTTTCAGTCCAAGTGTTACCTGAACAACAAATAAATAGTTGGCCCAAACTATTTAAAAATTATGTGTTTGCTCAACTTCTCATATGTTCATTCAACTATAAATTATTATTTGGGTATCTTAACAAAAAAATGCTGTGCAACTGGTTACACACACACACACAAACAGTGCTTTTAACATACAATGTTTTCAACTTACATACACTACATGACCAAAAGTATATGGACAGCTGCTTGTCGAACATCTCATTACAAAATCATGGGCATTAATATGGAGTTGGTCCCCCCTTTGCTGCTATAACAGCCTCCACTCTTCTGGGAAGGCTTTCCACTAGATGTTGGAACATTGCTGCGGGGACAGCCTCAAGAGCATTAGTGAGGTTGGGCACTGATGTTGGGCGATTAGGCCTGGCTAAAGGTGTCATCCTATGACAATGCCACGTTGAAAGTCACTGAGCTCTTTAGTAAGGCCATTCTACTGCCAGTGTTTGTCTATGGAGATTGCATGGCTGTGTGCTCGATTTTATACACCTGTCAGCAATGGGTGTGTCTAAAATAGCCGAATCCACTAATTTGAAGGGGTGTCCACATACTTTTGTATATATAGTGTATTTGACACACGTTGACATAGATGATTACATTGTGCATGTTATGTTCATTTATACAGTAATTATTATTCAACATGTTAATGGAATTCCGATCTTCCTGCTACGCCCACCATGTCTGTGTCAATTATCAGTTAATCTGACTATTCTTTCATCATTGATTTGATTTACTTATTTCAGCTATTTTAGCTTTTTCTGTATAGTTGTCTAATGTTGGTGGGGCATATAATGTTAATGTTACACTTAATGTGTACTTTTAACAGTGCTGAGATTTTCTTTGATGTGCAAAGTGTAGCAATACAGGTGAAATCAGTAATTGACACAGACATGGTGGCATTGCAGGAAGATTGGAATACCGTGAACCAAGAGGTTGTGAGTTCAAATCCCAGGTGAATATTAATTACTGTATAAATGAACACGCACAATGTGTGCCAAATATGTAAGTTAAAAACATTGTATGTTAAAAGCACTGTTTGTGTGTGTAACTATGTAGTTCTACATCCTTTTTTAGGTAAGCTGCTTAAACTATTTGAGCAAACATAAATTATATATATTTTTTAGTTACACTTGCAGGTAACACTTGGACCGAAACGTTGAATTAAAAAAAGGCGGTTGAACCAGTTTCTTAATAATAATTAGTTGAAACAACTCGATTTTTTCACAGTGTAGTTTAGGGAACTTTCGTGACACGACTCTGACAGTTTATTCCCTATAAGCTTGCTCTTTGGGGGAGTTAAGGCTCCCAATTCTGTAAAAGTAGTTTGTGACAATGTCTTGTAGCCAAAATGCTATCTATACAAATAAAATGTAGGCTATAGGTAATTGCATTGAATCAGATCCATGATTTGTTTATGATGTCACAGAGACAGCCATCATCTCCTCACCATTCTAGATCATAGATGCGGTAAAGAGGTCAATGGAATGCAGGATGCTGTGACGCCGTCATTGGCGCACATTCTACAAATCTGATCTAAAAAAGTTGTTATTCGTCAAATCCGTAATGTATTGTAACAGGTCCACAATGTGGTTACTAAAGTCCGATTTGGCTATATTTGGCTGTTTTCGCTGCATAACATTTAGAAGTTGTCCCTCTTCAGATTTAGAAGAAGTAACTGCTAAATGCTAACTCCCATTCGTATGAGCTGGTAGCATAGCTAGCATACAGAAATCGGTGGTGGTAGTCAAAGTCGTTTTTAACTGTAATGCAGTTGATTGGTGTTACAGGTTTTGGTTTTTCCATTTATGTTTTGAGGTTGGACTTCAGTACGTATAGCACGTAGGGCGCATCGATTGGTGTCACCTCATTAGTCAGTATGTGTTATACCTGTGCTGGTTGCCGTCTCATTAGTGGGAAGGTGTTTCACCTGTGCTGGCCCAGGTGCTATTTAAGAGTGGCTGGCCCAGTGCTCCAGTTGTCTTGATAGATGTGGAGCGTTAACACGTTTAGTTAGACAAACAATCCTTTATCTGATTTCGCCGATTTCGTTTTGCGCCACCTTTTTGGTTTGCTTCCTGTCTTTAAGTTGGGTGTGGGTTTTTCTTTTGGTTTGCCTCTACTTAGGCACATTTAGTGGGCGCTCATGGTGGGTGTCTTTTAGACCCCAGTTGTTGTTGCTATGCAACTTTAAGTGGACACCCCCATGAGTGTATTTTAGAACCCCTCTAAAACCCCACCTGTTTAGTTTTGGTTGATGTCAGTGACTCTTTATAAGTGATTATTTGTAAAATCGAGCACACAGTCATGCAATCTCCATAGACAAACATTGGCAGTAGAATGGCCTAAACTGAAGACCTCAGTGACTTTCAACGTGGCACTGTCAAAGGATGCCACCTTTCCAACAATTCAGTTCGTCAAGTTTCTGCCCTGCTAGAGCTGCTCGTCGGAAGCTTCATGAAATGGGTTTCCATGGCCGAGCAGCCTTACACAAGGAATAATGGTCTGGGGCTGTTTTTCATGGTTCGGGCTAGGCCCCTTAGTTCCAGTGAAGGAAAATCTTAACGCTACAGTATACAATGACATTCTAGACGATTCTGTGCTTCCAACTTTGTGGCAACAGTTTGGGGAAGGCCCTTTCTTGTTTCAGTATGACAATGCCCCCACGAACAAAGCGAGGTCCATACAGAAATGGTTTGTCGAGATCGGTGTGGAAGAACTTGACTGGCCTGCACAGAGGACTGACCTCAACCCCATCGAACACCTTTGGGATGAATTGGTACGCCGACTGCGAGCCAGGCCTAATCGCCCAAAATCAGTGCCCAACCTCACTAATGCTCTTGTGGCTGAATGGAAGCAAGTCCCCGCAGCAATGTGACAACATCTAGTGGAAAGCCTTCCCAGAAGAGTTGAGGCTGTTATAGCAGCAAAGGGGGGACCAACTCCATATTAATGCCCATAATTTTGGAATGAGATGTACTTTTGGCCATGTACTGTATATTGGGGTTGACATCCATACAAGCATTATACTCCAATGTTTGCCTCAACATATTGTGAAATACACATATAAACAATATGCTAAATCAAGGCTAATTTTGCTGGGGGGCAATGAGGAGATTCGGGATCTTTACCCCACGGCATCTTTCCCCCACACGTTTCCATGGCATTTCCATTGTTTTTGTCGATTTCATTGTTTCTTAAGTAATGATTTCCAGACTATTGTTTTTTTGTCCTTGAGCTTTCAAAGACCACAGCCAAGACCACTGCTAAACTACCGCACCACCAGAGGACCAGAGATGCCCAGGAAACATATCAAACTCCAGCCCAGGAACCAGTCCAAACACCCAGTGTGGCTCAGCAAGAGACCAGGCCTTACTGGAAGTGTGGGATGAAACAGACTTACCAGATGAGAACCAGAGAGGCACTGATTCAGCCCCCAGCTGGAAGACTGGCTCAGGACCCATCAAGGAACTGTTCGCACCTTTGGTTCAGGAAACTGACCATCCAGGTGGACATTATCCCTGTACTGGCCCAGGAACCTCTGGACCAGGAACCTCTGGACCAGGAACCTCTGGCCCGGGTGGAAGGCAGAGGGTGGAAGCCTACTTGGAGTTGCCTACTGAGGACCTACCTTCCTGAATTTTCGGATCCCCATTAGCTGACGCTATGATGTCAGCTAATCTTCCTGAAACACCTCTGGCCTAGGAATCTCTGGCCTGGGAACCTTTGGTCCGGGTGGAAGGTAACCTAGCGGTTAAGAGCGTTGGGCCAGTAACCGAAAGGTCGCTGGTTTGAATCCCCGATCCGACAAGGTGGAAAAATATCATACTAAATGGAGTGTCTTGAATTTACGTACAGAATAATACAAAATGCTCTGAGACCAGGTTGCAGCCCCAGCTGTGAGTTTATCATTGGGAAGGCTCTTGCAGAGAAGTGTGCCCTATACCAATCATCGCATTCCTCTAAATTTCCATTCCCAACTCGATGTTCAATTACTTTACATCAATTTATTTTCAACAATTGCTTTGGTCTAGTAAATGCCATTTGCCTGATGATGCGCAACTGGAGGAGGGTTTCATACAAGCACATTTTTGTCCACGTTCCCTCTCCTCACCACCTCACCTCGATTACCTTTGACCTTTTCAAAAGGAAGCATGAGAGGATGCAGGAGTTGGGCAAATCCAATTGAGAAAAGGCCAGTGTGATGATGAGTGGCAGTCATTATGGTGCTTTCAAGACAACTGGGAACTGGGAAAAAACGAGGTCAAATCATGACGTCAGTGATCTTCAGGTTGGAAAGTGGAAGATCTAGAAAGATGTCTGAGTTTTCGAATTGGAATTTCGAGTTGGATGACTGTTCAAAACGAATTTTCCTAGTCTGAGCTTGTTTTTTTCAGAGTTCCCAGTTGTCTTGAACCATATAGATAGCTAGATAGATTTGATAGATTAGATAGATAGATAGATGACTCATCTTTGTATCTGTGCCATTATAGCGTCTATGACAGCATGGGCAGCACCATTGAGGCAATCTCTATTTTGATGTAGTCAATTTTCTTCTTCAGGATTGGCTGATCCCTCCTTATGACCCAGTTGGACATGACTCCAACATGGTCCCCAGGAGGGATAAGCCAATGAAGTTGGAAGTCCCACCCAGTTGACTACATTAAAATGGTGGAAGCCCTCAATGGTGCTGCCCATGCTAATACGGCCTTTTGGCCACTAGAGGCCTCTATCATTCTCTATGTCTTGAACGCACTGAAGTCAGAGATTTCCGAGTTCCCAGTTGTTTTGAGCATGGCATAGGATGATGCCAGAGTTTCTGATTGGAAAAGGCTATAAGGACACGCCTGATGCCTAAACCGATATTTCATTTTAGAATGTATTAAAATTAGGCTAGGGTTAAGGTAAGGGACAGTTTTAGGTTTGATTCCTTATTGATGTCACTTGTTAAATCCACTTCAAATCAGTGTAGATGAAGCGGAGGTAACAGGTTAAGGATTTTAAAGTCTTGAGACATGGATTGTGTGTGTGTGCCATTCAGAGGGTGAATGGGCAAGACAAAATATTTAATCATATTTGAACGGGGTATGGTAGTTGGTGCCAGGCACACCAGTTTAAGTGTGTCAAGAACTGCAATGCTGTTGGGTTTTTCCATGCTCAACAGTTTCCTGTGAGTATCATGAATGGTCCACCGCCTAAAGGACATCCAGCCAACTTGACACAAATGTGGGAAGCATTGGAGTCAACACATGGGCCAGCATCCCTGTGGAACACTTCTGACACCTTGTTGAGTTCATGCCTCGACGAATTGAGGCTGTTCTAAGGGAAAAAGGGGTGCCACTTGTATTAGGAAGGTGTTCCTAATGTTTTGTACAATAGTCTCTCCCTTTCCGAATTGGAATTCGTGTTTTACCAAGTTGAACTTGAAGTTCCCAGTTGTCTTGAACGCACTGAAGTCTGATATCGATTTTCGAGTTCCAAGTGGTCTTGAACGCGACATTGGCTACTCCACACTCACTTACCATTCGGAATTTCAACTTCAATCTCTTCCTCTTTGACTCCTTTGAAAAACAGCATCGTCGATGCCGACTCTTCCTCGGTGACTTCATTCAGAAATCGGATTATCTTCTGCTCTTCTTCTCCATCTCCGCGGCTCAGCAATTCCTCGAAACAACCTGGCTCCGGCAAATAAAAACAGGAACATACCCGGTTTCGGATCCACTCCACCCGCGGATCGTCGAGGGACATTTTATCCCACAATTAAGTTACAACAAAGTACGAATGTTAGCTTTTTAGCTAACGAGCTTCAAACTCCGTCGTTTGTGTTGATGTAGCTAGCTACTTGCAACAACTGACAGCCTCATGTCACTATGGCAACTGGTCAACTTTCTGAGCCATGCGCCCCCTTTGGCGCCATCCAGTGCCACCATCGCATAGTCTCGCGTGGCGCTTGGACACTGGTGTCTGGCGCAAGAGTATTATAACGATAATGACAGTAACATTGTCAGTCAAATTCACCTTTATTCAGTCAGCTTTATTCACCTGTTACATTGACAACATGTTCACCATTATCAGATAGAAAATAATCCAGCAAAGACAAAACAGAGGGATGTATGCATACCACTAATGTAAGTATGGAGTTAATTATGCAAAGAAATCAAATGTTTACATTATTCTTTAAAATAAATAAGATTAAAATGGACTACATTAGAACAGGAACAGATATTTACAGCAACCCCTTCAACAAACCACACACTTTGTGTAATCAAGGATTAGAAGTTAAACCCATTGCTAATCAGACTTCACATCTAAGAATTAGTGGTCAACATAGTTGTAGAAAAGTATTTTCTAGCCACTATTTTAACATTACCTAGGCATTTTCTCTATTGCAGACTCCTTAGTCCACTCTCCTCGCCTCCTTCTCACATGCCATTGGATGAGAAAGCCAGAGGTCCTTCCCCTCTGAACTTCTCCTCCAATGGGTTTTGAGGAGGCGAGGAGCGAGGAGGCGAGGAGTATGCAATTGAGATTCTCCCCTAGTCTCAATTTCACAGCAGCATTTCCCATAGGATCCTGCTTTAGGGGCATCTTTAAGCATCAATAAGATACAGCACATTACTATTTGATAACACAGCAAGTTAGTTTACAATGAAATGGTGCAAGCTCCCCATAATGTTAAAGTTCCATGGTAATCACAATTCAATCAATTAGCACCTCTTCAGAGGGTTTAATACCATCATTAGGACATAAAACCATTATCAAAAAAATTACTCCCCCAAAAAAAGTATTTTATTTTTCCATCTTGGAAGGTACAATTACCCAACAGCATAAACAACATTCTCCTGCTTTGGTGCAACAGGATGGGAATATAGGAAAAGGTTTTAGAGATAATTGATCTCTGCACTGGTCCAGTGCCTGCTTTTCCTGCCTTATTCCTAATCAGGGATTGTTAGTGTCATTAAATGCCTCTTGACCAGCAGAACTATCTCTGTGAAAGGATGTCTTGAGCTATACTTTTAATTTCCATGCAGTTTTAGGAGTAGTCTCCAACAAAGCAATGGAGGCATAGGCAACATGTCTTAGAACAATTTGTCAGCATTCAGCACAACACGGTATGCATACATTCAAGAGAAAATTGATGCACCACTTTCTTAAACCTGTTATAGTCATTCAAATGTTAATTTCTCATTCAAACTTTATCACTCTATAAAAGAAAATGTACATCTCTCCCACATTCATCCAAAAATACTTTTCATTTACGAACAAGACTGAAGGAGGCTTTTCCTTGCAATGTTTTGGTAACCCAGAATATCATTCAATTGAAAATAGAGCATGATACACGGATATTTGGTTGTACTTATGTAAGGCAGTCAGTCAGTGCAACAAATAGTAGAAAAAACAACTATGAAATTGAACTGTACATCGATGAGGCTCAATAGAAGCCTGGGTAACAATCTGTTTGTGCCATCATGCCACTCCTTGTCATGTAGGAGTGGCATGATGGTACAAACCGACTAGTACCTAGGCTAGCTCAATTAGCACTGGATCCTGCTGGCACACTGTAGCAGTTTGCCTCTGGGAGGGCAGGAGCATTGTGTGTCCCATTCACAGCAAGTCATCATGCTCAAAGCTAGAGGGCAGGAGGGAGAAGGCAAAGGGAACAAACTTGATTCCAGTCCCAGTGTAGAACTTATTTTGGAACTCCACCCTATGGAGACAGAACAGAGATCACTGAATATAGTGTAAGCATTAATAAAAGCATTATAAAGGCATGATGTGTTGAATTTTTACACATATTTCCTGTCCTTCACTCTGTCAATTCTGCAAGTATAGTGAGTAACTAACCAGTGCAGCCTGAGAGCATGGAGGAAGGCAGACAGACCCTCCATAACCAGGAGGATAGACACAGTGAGCACAGCGAATATCCCAAACACTGGCACCAGAAACATGATGCCCAGGCTGGTGTCCATCCGCAGGCCCAATCGCATCACCATGGACCACAGCACTTCCGACAGCTCTGGGGGAGCAGGGGCAAACAAACACTGTCACATCTCTGATTGATTCATTTTATTTAATAATTTAAAAGAAGAAGGTTGCTCCAGTCAGAGAACATTACATACATAAACAATTAAACTCGCTCAAAAATAAAACACACTTTAAATGTTTATCCTTCAAAGATTAATAAAAATAATAAAAATGTGATGTGGTGTGGTGATACTCACGGGCATGTGCCAGACTCAGAGCCCAGAGGCGCAGGTAGGAGGCTGTGTTGGAGATGCAGCCCAGGCAGTACTCTATGGTGTGAATAGACTGGTGCAGGAACATGTCCCCAAAGTCAAACTGTAAAACCCAACACACAGACAGGAGGACCTATTACTTTCGGTACCCATAGTGTACTGATGCCTGAATGAGAGGCTAGTGGGAGGTGGTGATTGTGTTGTCATCAGCTAACCTCCTCTTTCTGGTGCTCTCTGCTGGTGGAGAGGTCACTGTGGACACTGCCCTCCTCCATGTCATTTGCCCTCATCAGGGAGAGCTCCTCCTCGCTGTGCCGTCGCACACGCTCATAACCCTGTTGACAAACACCACACACACTCTTCATGTTACAACCAGAGCGCACTCCTATAAACAGATTACACACACACACCACCATAGACTATGTTACAACCAGAACACAGACCCATATATGGACACACTACACACACATGCTTATGACTCTTAGGTCAGATAGAGCTACAAACTCAAAGCCTCACCCTGTACATTCCAATGCGGTTGGCTCCTCCGTTGTGCAGCCAGTAGAGGTAGACTGGTTTCCCCAGCAGTAAGACAGGCACCGATAGTAGAGCAATGACCACCAGGAACACCTGCAGCCCAACCTACAGTAGGAGAGGGAAACAACAGACAGGTCTGTTACAGTCTCACTGAAGTAGCTTCAGAGCGGGTTGGGCTTGTATACATGTCTTCACTGAGCGAGTGGTTTTACTGAGAAGTCCCAGTTCTATATTCAGTGGGTGTGTCCGAAATATCACACTATTCCCTTTAGTGCACACCTCTTGACCAGGGCCCTATAGTAGTGCATATAGGGAATAGGATGCCATTTGGGACACACCCACTGTGGGAACACACATGTACCTGTCCTGGGAAGAGGGGCGGCACCCCGTCCCCCTGCATGAGGAACATGTTGATGAAGTGGATGAGGATGCTGGGGGCCATCTGGGAGTCGCGGGCAGAGAAGGCCAGCCACTTGTAGATGATCATGAAGACCAGGTAGCCAAACAGGCACAGCAGGAACAGCAGCTCCGGGAGGAATACCAAGTACAGGTTGAACTTTTTCCTAAAATGCCTACACAGATAGACACAGACAACAGAGCTATAACGTGCTTTCATAGACACACACAAGGGCTGTAAAGTGTGGGTGGAGTGTGTGCTGTAACTCACAAGTGGTTAAAGACCCCTAGGATGACCCCGAAGCTCATGTGAATGATACCCACAATCACAGACATCTTCATCTTGTATGAGTTCAGAAAGGTCAGACGATTTGACGCCAAGTTCCAAATCTACACAGTGGAAGAAACAAGGAAAATAACCCCGTCAGGTTGAGGTATGGACAGACTACATCACAGTCAGACTGATGGGATTGTTAACAAAACATTGAAATATTGTTATAAGAATATTAAAATGACGATGAGTAATGATCCATGATACAGTGCTATGAAAAAGTATTTTCCCCCTTTCTAATTTTCTCTACTTTTGCATATTTGTGATACTGAATGTTATCAGATCTTCAACCAAAACCTAATATTAGATAAAGGGAACATAAGTGGACAAATAACACAACAATTACATATTTATTTCATAAACAAAGTTATGCAACACCCAATTCCCCTGTGTGAAAAAGTAATTGCCCCCTTACACTCAATAATTGGTTGTGCCACCTTTAGCTGCAATGACTTCAACCAAATGCTTCCTGTAGTTGTTGATCAGTCTCTCACGTCGCTGTGGAGGAATTTTGGCCCACTCTTCCATGCAGAACTGCTTTAACTCAGTGACGTGTGGGTTTTCAAGCATGAACTGCTCGTTTCAAGTCCTGCCACAACATCTCAATTGGGATTAGGTCTGGACTTTGACTAGGCCATTCCAAAACTTCCAAATTGTTGCTTTTTAGCAATTTTCATGTAGACTTGATTGTGTGTTTTGGATCATTGTCTTGCTGCATGACCCAGCTGCGCTTCAGCTTCAGCTCACAGACGGATGGTCTGACATTCTCCTGTAGAATTCTCTGATACAGAGCAGAATTCATGGTTCTTTCTATTAAGGCAACTCATCCAGGTCCTGAGGCAGCAAAGCATCCCCAAACCATCACACCACCACCACCATGCTTGACCTTTGGTATGATGTTCTTACTGTGGAATGCAGTGTTTGGTTTTCGCCAGGCATAATGGGACCCATCTCGTCCAAAAAGTTGACTCAAGTTTGCCAAAAAGCACCTGGATGATCATCAAGACTCTTGGAAGAACGTTCTATGGACAGATGATTCAAAAGTATAACTTTTGGACGAGATGGTTCCAGTAATGCCTGGCGAAAACCAAACTCTGCATTCCACAGTAAGAACATCATACCAAAGGTCAAGCATGGTGGTGGTGGTGTGATGGTTTGGGGATGCTTTGCTGCCTCAGGACCTGGACAACTTGCCTTAATAGAAGGAACCATGAATTCTGCTCTGTATCAGATAATTCTACAGGAGAATGTCAGACCATCCGTCTGTGAGCTGAAGCTGAAGCACAGCTGGGTCATGCAGCAAGACAATGATCCAAAACACACAATCAAGTCTACATGAAAATTGCTAAAAAGCAACAAATTGGAAGTTTTGGAATGGCCTAGTCAAAGTCCAGACCTAATCCCAATTGAGATGTTGTGGCAGGACTTGAAACAAGCAGTTCATGCTTGAAAACCCACACGTCACTGAGTTAAAGCAGTTCTGCATGGAAGAGTGGGCCAAAATTCCTCCACAGCGACGAGAGAGACTGATCAACAACTACAGGAAGCATTTGGTTGGAGTCATTGCAGCTAAAGGTGGCACAATCAGTTATTGAGTGTAAGGGTGCAATTACTTTTTTCACACAGGGGAATTGGGTGTTGCATAACTTTGTTTATGAAATAAATTAAATAAATATGTAATTGTTGTGTTATTTGTCCACTTATGTTCCCTTTATCTAATATTAGGTTTTGGTTGAAGATCTGATACATTCAGTATCAGAAATATGCAAAAGTAGAGAAAATTAGAAAGGGGGCAAATCCTTTTTAATAGCACTGTATACTTTATTGGCTCTGGTTGGTGAGAGGCAAATGTGTATGGTTATGAAGAGACAGGGAATAACTTGTGTGTATAGTGAACATAGAGACAAGACAAAGCCGTTTATGACCATGGATCATAAAGCCATGTACTTACCGGGTCAATGCCCAAAGGGTAGGGTCCATTGAAAACCCCAGGGACATTGGGATCAAGGGTCAGAAAGGCATTGGTGCGGAGTGTGGAATTCCTTTTAAAGAAAATATAAAAGTGAACAATTAAAAGAGCAAGCTATGTCACATACATCTTCGCAATTTTTATACTTTATTTTACATGTAATTAATGTATAATTGAAAAACCAGTCTGACCAATCAGTGATAGGACATCAAAAACCAAAACACATTGGCATTGAGCTGTGATCATGTGGCCTTTCACCCTGATCTAATCATCTCTGCAATCGCAGGAAGAGATATTACAGTACAGAACATATTACAGTACAGTACTTACCAAGTCCAATTTCCAGATTTAAACATGGCGTTGACACTCCAGCCCGAGCCAAAGATGTTCAGAGACTTGGAGAAGCAGTCGTTGTAGATGAGTCCGGTATATACCGAGAAGAAGCCCATCATCAGGATGATGTAACGGCCCTCGAAGAACGTGTTCCAGATCTGAGCATACAAACACACCATTGTCAACGTAGGGGGAAGGATCCAGCTAACCACAACATTTACTGTTTGCTTATTACTCATTTAGCTCATTTAGACCAGAAACAATTCCCCCACACACCCGGTCTACATCCCAAATGGCACCCTATTCCCTATGTAGTGCACTGCTTTTGACCAAATCCCTATAGGCCCTGGTCAAAACTAGTGCACTACATAGGGAATAGGGAGCCATTTGGGATGAACACACTGACAGCCTCTCCTCTGCCCCTCTCACCTCGTTCCTGGTGCTTTTCAGTTTGCCATTTTCCTCATACAGCACCATCCAGAGAGCAAACAGAGCCATGATAACACCATGGCCCAGGTCTCCAAACATCACAGCAAACAGGAAGGGGAAGGTGATGATTGTGTAAGGAGCTGTTAGACACAACAGACAATACATCATCATTCCTCCATATACACATTCAACTATCAATAAAGTGTACAACTTTATTGTCCATTCTTGTTAGGAGTGGAAATTTGTCTTCGGCGACAGGCATGTGGCTCATACACATAGCAAACAAACAGAAAAACAGTAGGGCTAATGATAGCATGTGATATCTTCCTAAATGTAGTAATCAGCGGTCATTGGCTGGCGAGGGCGTACTGTACCTGGGTTAACCTCTCTATAGTTGCCCACTCCATAGGCCTCCACTATGTTCTGGAAGCCTGATGTGAACTTGTTGGTCCTTATTAGGGTTGGCGGAGTGTCGTTGCTGGGGATACGGTTGACAAAAGAAGGCACTGTGGCTCCACTTTTCCTCTGTAAAGGTAAGCCAATAATGTCAGACAGTGGATTTTCAGACCGGGATTATTGTAATGTTAGCCTATTAAGGTTGCATGGAGGTTGTTTGAGTGAGGGCAACCCAATTATTTGAGACATAATTTGTTTTCTCCAAATGGAGACAGAAACCTAACATCTCATCAAACAGTTAGTTAGTTCAAATATTTTAGACCATTCAAGACCGTTCAAATATATTGACCATTAAAGCTTCGTCTTTAGAAGCCTCATTTAAGCCTTTTAAAGGACTAAAACCCCTGGCAGAACCCTGGCATGGGCTGCTGTCATTGAACTGAATGTGACCTTCATTATTCACGTCATTAGCCAGTGTAATGTAATAATAGACAGAAGCCCTGGTAGACTTCAATTGGGGCCCAACAGGACCCATGACTAGACTAGTTTAATAAATAAAACCAGAGCCATGTATTTAGAGAGTTGTGCCATTGAGGTTTCTGCATTATGCGCATTTCCATGACTACAACATTCTATGGCAGCCATGTTATCGCCCCATTAACATTACATGGGAATATTAAAATAATGCTATGTAACTGAATGTCTAGAATTAAAACAATATTCACAATTCTAAAAGTTGGCCCAACTCTCTAAATACCTGGCTCTGTCTAAAATCATCAGAGGTGGTCAAGATGAGATCAATTTCCCTTTTTCTACTACAACCAAAACCCCATTACTAAAGCAGGTCATGCTGACTGGGTGTGTGACTGTTGTTTAGCCAAATACTGAACAAAGTGAACTTAGAAGGAGGGGTCACAAACAATGATATTACAATCCAAAACGTAAAAAGAGTTAAGCCCAACAATGACATTACACAGGGAGCCATGGTAACAGGGAGCTGACTAACCGAGCCTTCCTCTAACGCCCTCCGCAGGATGGGCAGGTCGTTGACAGGGCACCACACCTCGGCTATCAGACACTTGTTGGTGACGTCAAAGCTACACAGGTTGAGGATGTGGTAGATGGCCTTCATCTTCTTGACCTGGATTACCCAGGTGTAGATGGACTCAGAAGCCTTGTTCAACACTTGTCTCAGGTAGTCCTCTGTCCTGTGGAGTACCTGGGGGAAGCCGGGGGGGAGTATTAGTATGACATTTTAACTAATGGGAGGGATTTCACATTCATTCAGAATATCAAAAGGGTGTGTAGAATTGACTTAGGCTCGTTGAGCGCAGCCTCCACTGAGTGCAAGGGCTTGCTATGTATCGGCCCATAGCTTGTTTGGGTATTGAAGCACAGGAATGTTTTGGCACAAAACACAGTTGGGGAATTGATTAATGAATGTCTAAGAATATTGTGTGAGGGCTAGAGTATCTGCAATGAAAATGCCAGGGAGGGAATTTGAGTGTGTGTGCTTTAAGTTCTGGTATGTGTGTGTGTTTGCATGAGGGGGGGGGGGGGCAGCCTTCAGCTGAGACCTCATGGAGATCATGTGCTGGGACCAGAGGTTAATTTAATAATTTTTTTCTTCAGAGGTAGAACTTCCAAAAAGATTGATCTTAAGTCTTCCAGACAGCAAGGCATAAGCCGAGTCAAGTGACCCCAGAGTGGTCACGCTCTGGTGCCTGAGTGAGAGCACTCTCCCTCTCGTTCCTAAAACTCTATCCCTCACATGCCATTCTGCTTCTTATCATCTTTGCCGTAGCTGGAAGCACAAGGCCCATTCTTTAAGGGATACTGTTTTAATGTCACCATTGGCCTGTATCTTTGTAGTGACTGTATATCTTTGTAGATGGCTAAAAATAAAAAAACAGACATTGAATATTCCTTTGAGCATGGTGAGATTTTGTGTCACTGGTCTACACACAATACCCCATAATGTCAAAGTGGAATTATGTTTTTAGAAATGTTTACAGATTAATAAAAAATGAAAAGCAGAAATGTCGAGTCAATAAGTATTCAACCCCTTTGTTATGGCAAGCCTAAATAAGTTCAGGAGTAGAGATTTGCTTAACAAGTCACATAATAAGTTGCATGGACTCACTCTGTGTTTAATAATAGTGTTTAACATGATTTCTGAATGACTAGCTCATTTCTGTACACCAGACATACAATTATCTGTAAGGTCCCTCAGTCAAGCAGTGAATTTCAAACACAGATTCAACCACAAAGACCAGGGAGGTTTTCCAATGCCTCGCAAAGAAGGCACCTATTGGTAGGTGGGTAAATATAAAAAAAGCAGACATTGAATAGCCCTTTGAGCATGATGACTTTATTCATTACACTTTGGATGGTGTATCAATACACCCAGTCACTACAAAGATACAGGCGTCCTTCCTAACTCAGTTGCCGGAGAGAAAGGAAACCACCCAGGGATTTCACCATGAGGCCAATGGTGACATTAAAACAGTTACAGAGTTTAATGGCTGTGATAGCAGAAAACTGAGGATGGATCTAGCAATGATCAACAACCAATTTGACAGAGCTCGAAGAATTTTGAAAAGAATCATGGACAAATATCGTACAATCCAGGTGTGCAAAGCTCTTAGAGACTTACCCAGGAAGACTTACCAGAGCTGTAATCGATGCCAAAGGTGATTCTAACATGTATTGACTCAAGGGTGTGAATACTTATGTAAATGAGATATGTCTGTATTTCATTTTCAATAAATGTGCAACATTTATAAAAACATGTATTCACTTTGTCATTATTGTGTAGATAGGTGAGAGAAATCTATTTAATCCATTTTTAATTCAGGCTGTAACAAAATGTGGAATTAATCAAGGGGTATAAATACTTTCTGAAGGCACTGTATTTCAACAGTTCAAGCCGTTGGTAGCTTATATTTTAACTAGCCAGTGACGTTAGGGAGCGATCTCTGGAGCAAACCTTTTCTGGTTAAAGAATACATGGGTGTAATCATTTAAAAAAATAAACATTTCTATTTTTAACTGTACAAATTTGATAGCCAAAAAGTTATTTTCATGACTTAAAGGCAAAACCAACTAAAAAAACATCACCCACTATGTTGTTGCTCACAAGGAGTTTAGAGAGCTTACAGTGTGCAGGTCCTGGATGCGAGTCCTGAGTCCCTCCACAACATCATTCCTCTCCTCCTTGCTGTTGGGGTATGGATACACGTGACAGTGGTAGCTGAGGGGCAAAAAGAAAAGCTCCATGATGTTATCACATAGGTTAAAGCCACAGTCTTCAGAGCTTGTTGGGGGCAACATAATAGGCCTAATGGTTTGACAGGGAATCACCTCAGGCTGAAAGTGTAACAGGTCAGTTGGAGAGGTGTTTTAATTACCAGTCACAGATCTTCTTGACTTTCTGTCCGATCTGCTCGCCCCAGTAGGAGATGAGGAAAACCACACTCTTAGTTGGCTCACCCTGCAATAACCAGAGAACAGGAAGCGGTTTAGAATATACACACGGTAAGGCTGAGGTGAGATGTTATACTTCTCACAGGCCTAACAGGGATGCTGTTATATTTAGCTATGTGGTAAGCAGTATCTTATTATTTTATCTCACACTCAACCATTTAGAAAAGGGTTAAGAATCTCTCTCAGGCAGAACAACATTGACCCACCGTGTCAAGGTCCTCCAAGTACTCGTCAATTTCAGAGTAGCTAAGGATAGTGTAGCCCTTACACACTCTCCAAAGCATGCGCTCAAAGGCCTCTATCTTCACCCTCTGAATCATCCCTGATATAAACCTGCGGGAGTGAGGGTGAGATCAACAGGGTATTACAGTAAACAGGCACACATACCCAAGTGTGTATAAATATGACTGCTGATAGCTCTTTACCCTAGTTTGGCCCCTAGTCGCTGCATGCTGGTGTAGTCCATCATGGAATCCTTTTCTAGGAAGGGGAACTCCTCATACTGGACCTGCGGGGGATCACGCTGTGAAACATAACCCAGTGTGAGGACACACACAAAATACATACCCCAAATCCAGACCAGTAGAGAAAACACATACACCCCCATAACACATCGTTAGAAAAAGGGCAACAATTTGCCCATGCATGAATTAATAAAAGACAAGTAGCAAGGTTTTGGCTAACCCCAGATTTATCCCCCAAAATATCCTCTATAAAGAAAAAAAAGAGAAGAGAAAGTTTCAATGTTATGCCGCCAAGCCAAATCATGTGACACTCAAATCTGCTCAGTCTCCTCATCAAGCAAATCAAAGTCAATGCAAGTGCTCTGAACTCAAACTGAGGGGCAGAGCGTTGTACAGTGGTGGGATCCTGCTTTGTGGGGCAGCTGTTGGACCTACCTCTGCGCTGCGGTGCACAAAATTGCGTGTGATGCGCAGCATGTGTGTATACTCTGTCAGCTCCAGGAGGTTCTTCTGTAGCTTCTCCTTATTCCTGGTCACCTCGCTCAGCTCCACCTCCAGCCTCTGCAACTGCTCCTGGAGACAGCCATACATACAGAGTCAATAGCAATGTCAATATGGGATGTGTCCTAAATGGCACCCTATTCCCCATATAGTGCACAACTTTTGACCAGGGCCCTGGTCAAAAATAGTGCACTGTATAGGGAACATATGGTGCCATTTGGGACGAAGACAATACTTCATTCTTGTGATAAAGGATTCATAACATTCTAGAGAATGAGAGACAGGTAGAGGGCGCTAACCATTATAACTAGGACCTGCTTCGGCAGGGGTGCAACCGGGTTCACTTCTCCCTCTGGACGTGGGATGTCTGCCCTCTTGATTTCTCTTAGAATGTACCCTGTCAAAGATGCAATGAAGTCTTAGTACACAACACACAGAGTCACTGTGTTCCAAACAATCCATTTGTTTCAAATAATACATGTATATCAATAAGGTTAATCTGTTGTAATTTACACTGTGTTTTTCATCAAGCCCGCACTTAGCCCAGAGCTAACAGCCTCCTTAGCCCTGGGCTAAGGGAGATTTTAGCACGGGGCTAAGCAAGTGCACCAACCTTAACCCAGGGCAAGGACCGACTTTTCGGGGGTTAGCCCCAGAAACACGGTGCCAATATATCCAGTGTTTTACGGGGTCAAGAACAACACGTTGAATATTCACTGTCCAATTCTTTTTTTATGACGCACATTTTCTCCTCTCCTCCATACCTGACTGCATGTGCTGCCATAGAAATAGAATGAATGGAACCGGCATCCTCATTCAAGTCAATGATGGCATAATGGGTAGACTGGCGGCCATTGTGAGTATACCAATAGGAAGTAAAAGCAGGAAGTAAAAGCAGGAAGTAAAAGCAGGAAGTAAAAGCAGGAGGAATACACATCAATATGGGTCGTCACTAAATAACACAGCCAAAAAGTCATAATTATGTCTAAACCACGCTTGAGATTATTAAAAGGTAGACTCAGCGATAGATATGACGTAGATGCAGAAAGTAAACAGCATAGTGGGTCAATTTCCTGAACAACAGAGCATTGACGCGCAAAGCTCAACTTCTCAGCTGTTTTGGTGCCCTGCGCAGATACTGTGTGTGATGCGAGAGCGAAGTCTTGCATCTTGCTCATCTCAATATCTACAGTGCTGCTAGTGGCTTCATTTCGCTGAATCGAATCATTTGAATGGACATTCTACATTACCATGGAATGTAGAACGTTTGCAATAACACCTTGCTTGTTTCAGCAAGGAGCAAAAGAGTGTAATAACGTTGTTAAGAGTCCATATTACCGCAGAAACGGTCTCAACTGAATGAATGCCCAGCCGTCCAATCTTCAGTCAGTAATACCGGCACTGAACAAAAGGGCCACTATTTTCAAAACCCCACTGATCCTCTGATATCCAAAGGTTAGCAATGCTAACAAGTAAATGTAAAATCCCATAGAGAATGCTAACGAGTGCAAACATTTTATACAGTCTCTGGACTAAGGTATTTGTAGGACAGACATCCCAGCTCATAAAGTTATACAAGCAACAACAAAAAAACTATTCACAGTTTGCTGCACACACAAAACAAATATTAGCCAGCAAGGCTCTTGATCCAGGAGGTGCTTCTCTGCGGTTACCAAGCAAAGCCTGATTTTGGAAGAAGCTAACCCCATAGCTAGATAAATTAGCAAACCAAATGCACAACTGCAGAGCATTTAGCGCATTTTAGACAGTTAACTTAATAGGTATAAGATATCTAGCTGGCAAATATTTATTTGTGAACATCAAACTGTAACTACACTGAACAAAAATATAAACGCAACATGTAAAGTGTTGGTCACATGAGCTGAAATACAAATTCCCAGGAATGTTCCATTCGCACAAAAAGCTTATTTCACTCAAATTTTGTGCTCAAATTTGTTTACATCCCTGTTAGTGAGCATTTCTCCTTTGCCAAGATAATCCATCCACCTGACAGGTGTGGCATATCAAGAAGCTGATTAAACAGCATGATCATTACACATGTGCTGGGGACAATAAAAGGCCACTCTAAAATGTGCAGTTGTCACACAACACAATGCCACAGATGTCTCAAGTTTTGAGGGAGCGTGCAATTGGCATGCTGACTGCAGGAATGTCCACCAGAGCAGTTGCTAGAGAATTGAATGTTAATTTCTCCACCATAAGCAACCTCCAACGTCGTTTTAGAGAACTCGGCAGTACAGTGCCTTGCAAAAGTATTCATCCCCCTTGGCGTTTTTCCTATTTTGTTATTTGGATTTCAAATGGGTGAAGTGAAACGAAAAACATAACTTGTTTCAGAAAATTCTAAAAAATAAATAACGGAAAAGTGGTGCGTGCATATGTATTCACCCCTTTTGCTATGAAGCCCCTAAATAAGATCTGATGCAACCAATTACCTTCAGAAGTCACATAATTAGTTAAATAAAGTCCACCTGTGTGCATTCTAAGTGTCAAATGATCTGAGTATATATACACCTGTTCTGAAAGGCCCCAGAGTCTGCAACACCACTAAGCAAGGGGCACCACCAAGCAAGCGGCACCATGAAGACCAAGGAGCTCTCCAAACAGGTCAGGGTCAAAGTTGTGGAGAAGTACAGATCCGGGTTGGGTTATAAAAAAATATCCGAAACATCCCACGGAGCACCATTAAATCCAATATTTAAAAATTGAAAGAATATGCCAACACAACAAACCTGCCAAGAGAGGGCCACCCACCAAAACTCACAGACCAGGCAAGGAGTGCATTAATCAGAGAGGCAACAAAGAGACCAAAGATAACCCTGAAGGAGCTGCAAAGCTCCACAGTGGAGATTGGAGTATCTGTCCATAGGACCACTTTAAGCCGTACACTCCACAGAGCTGGGCTTTACGGAAGAGTGGCCCGAAAATAAGCAAACTGCATGTGGGAGACTCCCCAAACATTTGGAAGTAGGTACTCTGGTCAGATGAGACTAAAATTGAGCTTTTTGGCCATCAAGGAAAACGCTATGTCTGGCGCAAACCCAACACCTCTCATCACCCCGTAAACACCATCCCCACAGTGAAGCATGGTGGTGGCAGCATCATGCTGTGGGGATGTTTTTCATCGGCAGGGACTGTGAAACTGGTCAGAATTGAAGGAATGATGGATGGCGCTAAATACAGGGAAATTCTTGAGGGAAACCTGTTTCAGTCTTCCAGAGATTTGAGACAGGGACGGAGGTTTACCTTCCAGCAGGACAATGACCCTAAGCATACTGCTAAAGCAACACTTGAGTGGTTTAAGGCTAAACATTTAAATGTCTTGGAATGGCCTAGTCAAAGCCCAGACCTCAATCCAATTGAGAATCTGTGGTATGACTTAAAGATTGCTGTACACCAGCGGACCCCATCTAACTTGAAGGAGCTGGAGCAGTTTTGCCTTGAAGAATGGGAAAAAATCCCAGTGGCTAGATGTGCCAAGCTTATAGAGACATACCCCAAGAGACTTGCAGCTGTAATTGCTGCATAAGGTGGCTCTACAAAGTATTGACTTTGGGGGTCTGAATAGTTATGCACACTCAAGTGCATAACTGATACAAAACCCCAAATGATACAAAACCCCAAACAATCCATTTTAATTCCAGGTTGTAAGGCAACAAAATAGGAAAAATGCCTAGGGGGGTGAATACTTTCGCAAGCCACTGTATGTGCAACCGACCTCACAACCGCAGACCACGTGTAACCACGCCAGCCCAGGAACTCCACATCCGGCTTCTTCACCTGCGGAATCGTCTTGGGGGGGGGGGGGGGGGGGGGGGGGGGGCTCCAAGGCCCACCCATGGCTGCATCCCTGCCCGGTCATGTGAAATCAATAGATTAGGGCCTTTTTAATTTATGAACTGTAACTCAGTAAAATCTTTGCAATTGTTGCATGTTGCGTTTATATTTTTGTTCAGTATAGATCACCTGTGGCTGTTTTTACTTTGCATATTGTAGGGATTTTGTCAGAGGGAACATATCCGAATCAAACAGATAAGCCGTAGTGGAGATTCAGAACCATGGATAGCGCTGCAGTTGATCAATTGCCCACGAATCTAAACCCGCTGTAAATCATGTGCCATTCTAAGGTATGCTATATTTTATATATAACAGCTAATATTGACTTATTGCATTCATTATCATTCGTTAGCCTGAAAATCAAATGGTGGGCCTATTCTAGCAATACATTTAATTATCATCTCAAGGTTTTGTTTAAAAAAATGTATTTAGTCACAGCATAAAATAAATGAAATGTCAGCCTTCTGGCTACACAAACATAGACCACATAATACAATTTAATAAACAAGTCAAGACCCAGACATTATTATTTTCCATTATTACTTTTATTCAAGACAGAAAAACAAAACATTTCATAAATTCAAACCAAATGTTATTTGTCACATGCTTCTTAAACAGGTGTACAACAGGTGTAATGACAATACCCCATAATGACAAAGTGAAAACATGTTTTTAGAAATTGTTGCCAATGTATTGAAAATCTCATTTACATAAGTATTTACACGACTGAATCAATGCATGTTAGAATCACATTTGGCAGCGATCACAGCTGTGAGTCTTTCTGGGTAAATCTCTTAGAGCTTTCCACACCTGGAATGTACAATATTTGCTCATTATTATTTTCAAAATTCTTCAAGCTCTTTTCAAGAGGATTTAAGTCAAAACTGTAACTTGGCCACTCAGGAGCATTCACTGTCTTCTTGGTAAGCAACTCCAGTGTAGATTTGGCCTTGTGTTTTAAGTTATTGTCCTGCTGAAAGGTGAATTCATCTCACAGGTCTAGTGAAAAGCAGACTGAACCAGGGTTTCCTCTAGGATTTTGCCTGTGCTTAGCTCTATTCCGTTTCCTTCTTATTCTGAAAAACTCACCAGTCCTTAACAATTACAAGCATACCCATAACATGATGCAGCCACCACTATGATTGAAAATATGGAGAGTGGTACTCAGTAATGTGTTGTATTGGATTTGACCCAAACATAACAATTTGTATTCAGGACAAAAAGTTAATTGCTTTGCCACATTTTTAGCAGTATTACTTTTGTTGCAAACAGGATCCATGTTTTGGAATATTTGTATTCTGTACAGGCTTCCTTCTTTTCACTCTGTCAATTAGGTTAGTATTGTGGAGTAACTACAATGTTGTTGATCCATCCTCAGTTCTCCTATCACAGGCATAAACTCTAACTGTTTTAAAGTCACCATTGTCATCATGGTGAAATCCCTGTGCGGTTTTCTTCCTCTCCGGCAACTGAGTTAGGAAGGACGCCTGTATCTTTGTAGTGATTTAGGCTTGCCATAACAAAGGGGTTAAATACT